ACCTGAGTCCGCTCTTCCTTCAGCAGGGAGGTGGGAGTCGCCCCACGCTGCAGCTGTGGGTGTTTCCCTTCCAAGGAGCAGACCCGCAACACCAAGTGCAGGCTGTTGTTGCCTAGGTAACGCGTGTGCCCGAGTGGTGAGTTTCTGGAGAGCTGAGTCTGAGGACTTGAGCCCCGCCCAGCCTCCAGAGAGCGCTGCGCTCCCGGCCCTTCTGAGCAGTCAGCCCGTCCGCGAGGGAAACATTTCACATTTTCAGGGGTTTTTACATGGAAAGTCTGGGAAGGTGTCCGGTTCCTGTGGCGTTTGATGTTGTCTGTGATTGGAGAAAAACAAGGAGGATGGTCGTTAAAATCGATGTTGTCTATTTAGAGCCGTGTCTCCTGAGGGTGGTTTTTTAAGCAATGCCACAAACCTTGATATCCGTCTCTCTCTGAAGTTGCTGATATGCTTGGAAACACTTGTTGTGTTGTGTGTAACAGTTGCTGACACAGCTTCTTGCCAAGAACCAGTCTGGCTGCGCCCTCAGTTGAGGCTGGGGAGAGGGACACCCCTTGAATTGTGGTTTTAGTTCACACGTGCGTTTGAGAACTTTCCAGTTGAGAGAATTAGAAACAGAACTGAAATCCTTTTTATCCATTTGCCTGATAACGATCAGAACAGCTGATTCCTGAATTGACCTTCAAGGGGTTTGGCCTAAAATAATTCCAATTCCGGCATTCAGTTTTTAATAATTGATGTTGTTCAAATTGAACACTGTTTATTGTTAATGTCGCAAATCCAATCCCAGGTGGAAATACGCTTTCGGGTTTTTGTGTTCCTCTGTGTATTGTCTATTTGGATCTCGTCTAAGTGCAGCAGTGGTTTCCAGTTTGAGGAAGGGTGTCTGGGAAGGTGCATTCCTGGGAGGCCATGACCTCAGAAAAATTAGTGTTTGTTCCAGAAGGTCAGGTTAGAAAAGGTCATGTGAAAATGTGTGTGTGTGTGTATGTGTGTCTACATAGTTTTTAACCTCCAATTTTCCCTGAAAACCAGCTTGGAGAAACCTACTTTGGCCAAAGGGCTTTTATGGGGTTCGGCTCTGTGCCCCACCTCAAGCATCTCTGGGCTGAAGCCCTGTGTGCTGAAGCAGCTGGTTTTTTTTTGGGTTAGATATTGAGATTGAAAGCAATAGATGGCCGGGTAATTTGGAGGGGTGGCTGTGGAGCATCCCTCTGCAGGCTGTCAGTGGGAAATTGGGGTGTTCTGTTTTGCTCTCTACAGCCCTTGCTTGTCTCTGGTTATTCTTGAGGCAATTAAGCTGCTTTCTTCTTTAAAACAAATAGTCCTCTCACTTCCCGGTCATGTGCCCGAGAGAACAGGCTGGAAACAATGACAGTGATGAGATTAGCCAGGCCTTTGGGGAGGTGAGTCCAGGGCTGGTCCGGGCTGGTCCTGCTTCTTATCTTCAGGGAGATAAAATTAGCGTCTGCCTTGAGCCTTTCACTCCAAATAGGCTGAAGGTTAAGGGATAATACTGGGGAGTTTTGGCTCCTCTGGTTTGTCCTGTTCTTTAACTATTTGCCCAGATTTTAGGGGAGATCTTGGAGGACAGGAAGCTGGGGAGGAGCCAGGAGGCAGCAGGTCTGCACCCTTCCATCCGGAATGTCCCCCCGCCCCCGTGAAAGGCGTCTCCTGTATTTCAAAGACTTTTTTTTTTTTAAGATTTATTTATTGATGCATACAAGAGCTGGGGTACAGGCCAGAGATGCGGGGGGTGAGAGGATTCACCAGAGACAGAGTGGGGAGCAGAACAGGCAGACGACAGAAATACACTGCTGAGGGGAGCAGTGGGCGAAACAGGAGAGGTCTGCTGCACCATGTGGGTTGCTCTGAGGCCGGCCGGGGATTGAACTCATGCTGCAGAGGCTGCGGATTGCTTCATAGTGCGGTGCTTAACCCCTTGCGCCACCAGGGAGGCCCTCAAAGACCTTTTTTTTTAAAAAAGATTTAATTTATTTATGCAACAAGAGCTTTAACCAAACAATCTTCATCTCCCTGAAATGAGTTGTTTTAAAATATTATTCTCCTTTGTCCTCTAAAATTAAAAAAAAGTGGCAACATACATATAATCCCAATTTCACTATCTCAGCCGTGTTTTAAGCCTACACGTCAGTACAGCTAGCAGACATCTGGTTGGGTCGCCATTGCCACTAGGCATCTCCAGAATTTTCCTCACCTTGTAGAACTGAAGCTCTGTGCCCCGTAAATACTAGCTCGCCCTCCCTTGACCCCCAGTGCGCACCACTCTGATTTCTGTTGTGAGTCTGTCTGCTCTAAGTAGCTCAAATAAGCATAACTATCCAGTATTTGTCTTTTGGTCACTGGCTTATTTGACTTAATGTCCTCAAGGTTTATCCATGATGCACCTCGTCAGGCTTCTTTTTAAGGCTGCGTAGTATTCCCCGGTGGAATACTTTTGTATCTCCGTTCATCTGTTGATGGACACTGGGGTGTTGTGAATATTATGTCACTGAGAACATGGGTGTGCAAGGATCTCTTTGAGACCTCACTTTCAGTTGTTTTGGGGATGTGCTCAGGAGTGGAATTGCTGAGTCACGTGTTACTTGAGGACCCACCAGACCATTTTCTGCAGCACCATTTTGCATCCCCTCAATCTTGCACCTGGGTCCCAGTTAGTCCACATCCTTGTCAATACTTTTCCGTGGTGTTTAGATGGTAGCTATCCAAACGGGTGTGAGGTGGAAGTGTCTTCTGAAACATTCTCTGCTCAGCTAAGGCATTTCCCGCAGGTGCAGATGTTGAGGTCAGTTCCTGGAACTTGTGGTCAGGTGGCACCCACAGCCCTATCATTTATTTGCTAAGGAGGATGGAGCAGATTCCTGCTTCCAAATGGAGATATTTTCAGCTTGCAAATAAGCGAGTTGCTGGAGCACAGATAGCAGATGGACTCAGAGCAATTTCTAGCTATTTGTGGTAGGAAAATGCACCGGACAGATCCTGTGACGAGGTCCAGGGCTGGAAGCAGGAAGATCTGAGCCCTGGTCTCTGCGGGGAGGGCACACTACTCGGTCATCTCCCCTTGGGGGCTGATTTCCCTGAGATGCGGGTGTTAGAACAACTAACAACTCTGTCTGGATCCTGTAAGCTTCAAAGTGAAGTTCTTGGATTCTGCATGATTACTTGAATTTACTCATTGAGAAGGCGAACGATTTGTTCAGGAGAACAGACCAGTCTTTAAGTTATTAAAGACGCCCCTTCTGTTGCTAAGAACTCGGAGGGCAGCCTGCGTCTTCGACTAGTTGGAGCTGGGATTGGCCCTGGCGGCTCATGGAGGCCGACGTCCTCATGCTCATGTCACAGACAAGAAGCTGGATGCAGAGACGTGGTGATACCATCTGTTTTGAGCTTTCTCTTATGAATCAAAAATGCCAGGTGGTGGGCCCCGGGCACCCTGTGGCGTGTGTTGGCGGTGGCGGTTGGGAACCTGCTGCCGGCATCCTTGAGCACGGCTTGGAGCGAGAGCCAGGAAATTAGGAGAAGCCCTGGGGACAGGTGAGGGGGCTTGACAGAACTGAAATAAAGGTGACTGCAGAACCCCAGGACCCCAATTCCTGGTCCCCAGCGTTGGCACATGGCGACCCTGGGCACATGTTTATTCAGAGGTCTCATGCCTGCAGGGACTCATGAGCATCTCAGGGGGGTGGACGAGGTGCGGGGGAGGGGCTTGGGGCGCAGGTACTCCTCTCGTTTGTATGCACAGCGGGTGAAAATCTAGACTGGGCCCTGGGGCGGAGGGTTTCTGAGAGGCCTCCTACTGGGAAGCATGAGGGTTACAAAGAATCCCTTTTTAGCTCATACACCTTTTTGGGAACTGCCCTCCCCTCCCCTTTGTGCGTGAAGTCAGCGGCACCAGCACCCGCAAACAAACAGAAGCGCGGTGGGGTGTGGCCGTGCGGTGGTCCTTGCCGGGGTTTGGGGGCGGCGGTGCCTCTCCAACTGCGTGTCCACCGAGGGGCTGGCCCCTCAGCAGAGGGGGACGTGCCCTGGAAACCGCCCCACGAGCTGCCAGGGCTCCCTCGTGCGCCGTCTCGTTAGCAGGCGAGGGTGGTTGTGCGTCAGATGCGGACCAACGGTTCTGGTTGCCTGCTGTGCGCAGGGCATCGGACCAGCCCAGCGCCAGCCTGTTTCCTCATTTGTAAACGGGGGGCTGATGTCGCGTCTGCTTATGTCATAGGGGTCCAGCCCCCCCCGGGCCAGCCCCTCCATGATTTACTCCCCTCTTGCCCGGGCCTTACTCCCTTGATGTTCGTGTCAAGCGACAGAGCCTGGCAGTACTGAGTTACTCGTGTCCTGCCTCCCTCTCCTCATGACCCAGCGCCTTCAGGGGACAGGGACGGCGTCCGGGTCGGCCATGCCCTGGGCCCCAGGCCCTTCGGAGGGGGGCGCCCGGCGTGCCCACCGAGAGGGATGCCGTTGATGAGCTGGGCCGGTGGCTGGAGGCAGAGCAGGTAGCCCTGGACGTGGCGGCAGGAGCCAGCCAGGCAGGCCGGCGCGAGGATGGACATTGTTCAAAATACGAGTTATCTTTTTTGCTTTTCCAGTGAGAACTTAATTCCAAATAAGAACATTAAGTGCCTCCTCTGGCACAGGCGGGAGGCTACGAAATACACATAGGGCCTTTCTCAAGTGTCTTGAGATTTAGTCTTTAAACCTTGCACTGAATGACAGAGCTAGTCATGGGGGGCCAGAACCATCAGGGTGAGCTTGCGGGGTCCCAGGGAGGAGTGGCCGGTGCTCCCTGGGATCCCCAGCGGCAGTGAGGGCTGGGGCAGCGGGGCGGGGGATTGTGGAGTCCCTGCGGCTGAAGCGAAGCATCCGAGCCAGGTGGGGGGGTGCGGGGTGCAGGGTGCACCTTTGAAAGGAGGCAGCGTTGGCTGTGCCGGCTCCTGAGTGGCCTCCCGAGTTAAGGGCTCGTCTCCCTGTGCTTCTGTCTGTCCTAGGCTCAAACCATGAATTACGTCGGGCAGCTGGCGGGCCAGGTGTTCGTTACGGTGAAGGAGCTCTACAAGGGCCTGAACCCCGCCACGCTCTCTGGATGCATCGACATCATCGTGGTCCGCCAGCCCAACGGGAGCCTGCAGTGCTCCCCGTTCCACGTGCGCTTCGGGAAGATGGGGGTGCTGCGCTCCCGGGAGAAAGTGGTAAGACGGGAGAGCCGTGGCCCGGGACTGGGTTGTCTCCTCGGAGAAAATCATTGCATTTCTGTGCCTTGGCATAACCGGGACCTCTCAGAGACCCCGTCTTTGGGCTCTGCGTTGGGGGACGCTGTTTTTGCAGGGGCAGTTACTAATGTGGAGGATTCTGGCCCCTGTGGCTGTGGATTACTCCAGAGTTGAGTGGTGTTCACCGCTCGTTAGCTAATACGTTAGTTCTCATTCCAGGCAGCTCCGTATTAACGCCTGGGCTCTGCGGGCGAGGAATTCAGCCCGAGCGGCGCAGCGGTGGCTTGTCTGTCTGGGACGCTGGCCGGAATCTCAGAGTCGGGGTCTGGCATCCTCTGGGGTCCCTCTCGAGACGGGTGGCCCTTGACCCAGCTCTCCGATGAGGCCAGAACACCCACACTCGTCCTCCCTGTGCAGCCTGGGTTGTCCTCCCAACAGGGCGGGCGTCCCCAGGGCGAGGGCCGAGCAGCCGGTGGGCGCCAGGTTCCTTTCCTGGCCTGGCTTTGCGAGGAGGCCATGCAGTGGCACTTTGCTTTTTGAAGGAATGAACGCATTTTATTAATTGAAATTCTACTTGAGCCGACATTTTAACACGCATTGGTGTTCCTCCAACTTCGCCCATTTCATTTTTTTAAATTAATAAACATCGGCCTCTCTAAACAAGATTCTTTTTCCAACATCGCTGGCAGTCAGTTTTTATCAATCAAATTCTTGGCTTTCGCTTATTTACCTACATTTTTCCTAGTTGAAGTCATGCCGCATGATAGCATCTTGCAGGTTGCAGCAGTTCTGCATGTCTGCTACGTTAGGTTCACCTCCAAAGGGCCAGTCCCCCCCCTTCACCCCACGACGGGCCCCCTTGACCCGATTTCTACCTGTGGTGCCGCTTCTGTTGTGCTCACGCGTTGCGGCAATAGGGAGCCTGCGGGGCTGCGTGGAGCAGACGCCTTTGCTTTGTGGGGAGAGCGTGTGGAACCGGATGGACTGATTGAGATTTGGAATTGTCATGAGATGCTTTCGGGGTGTCTGAGATGAGAGCTATTTATGCAGAGTGGCGTCCCCGCGAGGTTGCCCGTGGGGTGGGCAGTTCCTTGTTTTCTTAAATGTGTTTTTCCTTCAGGTTGACATAGAAATCAACGGGGAGTCTGTGGATTTGCACATGAAACTGGGAGATAACGGAGAAGCGTTTTTTGTTCAGGAGACTGATAATGATCAGGTGAGTGAGGAGGGCTGGGCCGTCAGGGCCGCTTCCTGGGTTTGAACTTGGAGCAGAGGTTACCCGGGACACACAACGGAGGTCTGTGTGGACACGAACCTCGGGGGCCTGCCGAACAGAGGGCCTATTCTCTGCGGACCTGTGACCACGCAGGCCTCAGCGCCCCTCCCGCTTCAGTGTGCTGGGCCTGGTGTCCAAAGCACAAATTATACTGGAGCTTTGGACCTCAGGTGGCTGCTTGTTGTAATGTTTACTTAGTGAGTGACCGAGTGACTTTAATTTTTTTATTGTTTTTAAATTTTTAACAGCTCTATTAAGATATAATTCTTACAGCATATAATTCACTCAAGTGTATGATTCAAGGGGCTTTAGTATTTTCACGAGTTATATGCAGCCGTCACTACAGTCAGTTTTAGAATCTTTTCATAAAACTGTGCCCTTTGGTTGTATCCCCCACCCCTCCCTCCCTCTCCCCTGCCCCAAGCAACAGCTCATTTACTTCATGTTTCTCTGAATGGAACCATGTGGTCCTTTGGGCCCGACTTTCCTTTATTCAGCGTACTATTTCCTAACGGTGTCAGCACTGCCCCCCTCTCTGGGGCTGAATATGGACGCATGCTCCCTGTGCTCCACACTTAGCTCTCCCCATCCTGTGTTGATGGGCACATACGTGAGTTTGTCCTGCCTTTTGACCTATTGAACATTTGTGTGCAAGTTTTTGTCTGTCCGGGTCCAGACCCAGGAGCGGAATTGCTGGGTCACCCAGTGGCTGCCTGATGCTGTCAGGACCCACGACACCATTAATTCACGTCCCCACCAACCCTGGTGGAGAGCTCTGATGGGTCATCCTCCTGGGCATGTGCCATCTGACCGTGTGATGCCAATGTCACTACATTCGTGTTTGAAACTATTTTCTGACCTTCAGGAAGTGATCCCCATACACCTGGCCACCTCCCCTATCCTGTCCGAGGGAGCCTCTCTCATGGAGTGCCAGCTAAAAAGGAACACGGTGGATCGTGCGAGGAGCCTGGACTCGAACACGTCTGTGCAGGCTCTGACGCCCAGTGAGACCTCTTCAAGCAGCTCTGTTGTGAAGAAGAGAAGAAAAAGGAGGAGAAAGTCCCAGCTGGACAGCCTGAAAAGAGACGACACTGCGAACACATCGGAAGATGAAGACGTGTTTCCCATAGAGATGAGCTCCGATGAGGAGGCAGACCCGCTGGACGGCAGCAGGTGCGTGTGGAAGGGGGCGGCCCATCCCGGAGTGAGGCCAATTAGTTTATGCAGACGAGTCCTACAGACCCCGTACCCCACCCCACACCTTGCATTAATCATTCTTCTGTGAATGCATTTTATACTAGATTTTGGAATCACACAGCCCCTATCTGAAAGGAGTGTCAGGATTTAACGTAGCGTGTAACTCAGAGACATTTGGTAAGGCCAGGCATCCTGGCTCCCAACTTTAGCAGAGCAGAACTGAGAAATAGGAACTGAGCAAACCAGTTGTTCCTGCACGAAACTGGGTTTGTTTAGTTGGGGGCTGATGGGTGGCAGGCTTTGGGTCTCAGGGTGGCCGGAGAACAGGACCTTTCCTTTTCTGTTTTGATTAGGCCCGGAGTGGACATGGGTCATGCTTATCTTTGCTTTCATCGGCGTGGCGAAACTCTGTTTTTATGTATTACTCTTGGTGAAAAGCGACAGCTTTGAAAGACAAAACTCATTTGTCAAAAGCGTTTGATGTTTCAGATAATTATAGAACTCAGTGTCCTGAGGATTGTTTCTGTATCTCTTTACCATGGAGAAGGGCCTGGTGCATCTGTTGTGTCCCCTGTTCATTGTTGAGAACAGAACGGTGTTTTCCTGGCAGAGCAGCAGGGTGTGGGTCCCCAGCCCCCAGACCAGGGGTCCCCGGGAGCGGTTCTGGGGCTAGGTCGCCTTGCTGCCTGACTTTTGATTCCAGGGCTTAGCAATGGCTGTTTCAGCAACATGAGAAAGGCCTGCGGAGGCTCCCCAGCCTGTGTGAGATAGCGCGGCCAGTTGTGATGTTACAGCGTGACAGATATGTAATGAGAATGAAATGTGCGAGCTTCCATTGTCCACCTGAGGCTGGCAGTTTCTCAGTCGTTTTGTAATCATAGGATACATCTGTATTTGGTTGATATTTATTTATTCTGCCAGATGAACTATGATCTGTGCACACTTAGTTACTGAGCGGCTCCTGTGTCGGCAGTGAGTGCTGTCACTCCTGCGGCCGGTTCCGTGAGGTGGACTTTGGGAGGCGCCATGACGCCAGCAGGTGTCGGAGTCCATCATGATCACGTCGAGGATCCATCCCCGGCAGGGCACATAGACGCGCGCCTGTGTGTTGCCTTATCTCACGTTTTTTCTGTCCGCTGCCTGGAATGAGTCTTGGTTTAAAAAGGGAAGATCCGCGAGGTGCTCAGAGATACTCAGCAAAACAGAAACTGCCTTTGTTCTTGTTCTGGTTCTAATCATTCGTTGACTTTCGTCTTTTTCCCCCTGCAGAACCCTCCCTAGTGATAGCCCTCCATTCCAAGACGAAGTTCCTAAGGAAGACCTGCCCCCACTGCGCACCTACTCCCAGTCGGCCTCTTACCCTAATTCCGATAGAGAGTGGACGCCCAACGCCAGGTGAGCCCCCCGGTGTGTCCGCACCCCCCCAGCGGCCCCACACCAGTCCTAGCAAGCGTGGTTAATAAAGTAGTGAATTATAAATTCAGAATGAGAATCTTAGGATCAGAAAAGATGCAGTTTAGAGTAGGTGGTTCAGCTCAGGGTGCAACACCACGGCCACCGTGACCTGCTCCTTACGCATAATTGAGCTGCAGCCCTGGGTCCCCGAGCAGGTGTTGACCGCTTGTTCAGCGACGTCCACTCGTGGTCAATGGGACACGTGGGCTCAGCCTTCCTGGACTCTTAGCACCAAAGAGCGGTGGCTGCAGGGGCCCTGAGTCATTCTGCTGAGTGAGGCCTTTTTGCCAAGTTTAGTTTGTTCTGCTGAGTTCTAGAATATTTCTTTCCTTTATTTCCTGAAATAAACAAGTTGCCCCAGCACAAACCAGAGCTGCTCCGGTGCAGACTGCCATCCCGAAGAGGCCAGAGACCTCAGTCAGCGAGGCAGAGCAGCTCTTAGGAACCTGGGGAGGGGACATTCCAAACCCAGCCATCCCTGCCGGGGCCCTTATCACCTCGATTGAGCCAGCGACTTTGGGCCACAAAAGATTGTAGACATCATCGTCTGTGGCCTCTAATGGGGTCAACCCTGAAGCAGATGGTCTAGTCACAGCACTAAAATTTCAAGGAGGAGGGAGGGCTACTGGAAGAAATGTCTCACAATGCCCCCAGGGGTGTGGCGGCAGGACAGGGGTTGGGAATCAGCCATCTAGCTGACAGCGACACTGGGGTATTCCTAGGCTGAAAGGGTTCTGTTTTCTTGTGGCTTAAGAGGGGTGTGTGAGAACCTCCAGCAGCCCCGGCAGGTGCAGCTAAGACTTCCTCCCCAAAGCCAGTCTCAGGCAAATGCCTCCCCCTGCCGCCTGCCCCCATTCAGAGCCAGCGCAGTTTGCTGTGTGCACCAAAACTGGGGCTGGAGAAAAAGATTTGTCACCTTTCCTGGCTTCACCGTGACACAGCAGCTTAGTCAGGCAGGGGTCCCCTTCTCCAGGTGTGTCTTGTCCATGCCAGGAAGTTTAACAATTTCTCTTAGTCATACTCAGAAAATGAACAGATAACATAAATTGTAATGATCCATTTGATCCAGTATATCCCAAATATTAGCCTTTCAACGAGTCGTCAGGTAGAAAAGTTGAGGTAGTTAGTGTTTTCAGGCTGATTTGCCAGGTGCTGACAGAGCCCCTCAGGGGTGAGTCATGGGCAGGGTCCAGAGCCCATGCACTGTCCTGGTGGACACTGGACACTGGCTCTGTAGACCTTTCTGGAGCCTCAGAGTCCTCTCCCTATGAGGTCTGTGGAGATAAACCCCACGGAGGGAAAAGCACTTTGGGAGGAAAACTATGTGGCCTAATGAGAAACCACTAAAGGGCTAAAAAAAAAAAAAAAATCTGTTTAAATATTACACATGAATTTTGAGGGCTTAAAATAAACATTTTTAAGTGTTAGAATTCTTTCACACTTTGCTCTATGAACCCAGAATTCTGACTGTGTCAGATAATGTGGATCTGACCACCGTCAACTGCAAATACAACTTAGGATAAATAGATACATTTCCATACCGGGAATTGTGTATTTTTTCCAAAGACAGTTGACAGCTCGGCTCTTTGGAGCGTGTAGTTTGATCAGGCGCTACATTCTGACCAGAGAAAAACGTCTTTTATGGGCACATGGATGAAAGAGAAAGTGAAACGGGTCTTTTGGCAATTTCCTGTTTTTGTGGTTCAGAAAATTGATGTTGACTTCAACATACAGACCTCAGACCTCAGCCTTTGTTAGATACCCAAGTGCGTTCCCTTTCTTACAGGTATTATTGTTAAGAGTAGTCAAATAATGCGTATGGTTTCCGTTTCACCTCATTGACGTGATTGTTTTTCTCTCTCTCTCAATGTCTCCCCGTCTCCAGTAGCCCGATAGATTGCAAAAGGACGCCCCCTCATCTTGCGGTTGCGGGAGAGGGAGGCCTTTCTAGCTCTTGTCCTCAGCAGCCCTCCCCCTTCCTTGCTTCGGAAAGGTAGAAAGGCGGTCCCTCCCCCGCTTGGGTGTCCTCCAGAATGAACCTCTCGCTCTAACACCCACAAATCGAACTTAACATTAATCGAGCTAATTCTGTGGAAAATTTGTATGACGAGATGAAGTGGGAAGATTTGATCTAACGCTTACAAATCTTTCACTCACTAACCAAATTACTTATGAAGACAATGCACATAAATAATTCTTTTCCTTTCATTTAAAACTTTTGCAGAATAGAATTTTTTTAAGCACTAGATTTGACTCTGATGGCTCAGCCCAAATTTCTTCCTAATGCTGTGGCGGGCTTTCAGGAGTAGTGTCATGGAGTAAAAATCGGGCGTGTGATCATTCGCTTATTTCTCGGGTTGTTCAACAAGTAAGCTTGCAAGCTGTCTTCTAGGTGTTAATGCTGTTTAACCCGCCCGTCAGACTCGGGATATGGCGCTGGTTTTCCATAATGGTCTAGAGCAGGTGTCTGGAGAGGTAGGTGCAGGGGCGGGGTCGGGGGCTGTGTCTTCATTTGAGGCCAGGGTCTTAGGTGCCTCCTAAGAAGCCCTCGGTGTGGCCCTCACTCCCCTCTGCCCGCCCATGCACTTGCCTGGCTCACCTTATAAAACTCAGCAAGTGGAGCGGTGATGAATTTCCACAGGGGGAGCTTTTTCACTCAAGAGCTGAATCTCGGGTTCTCGTCATGCAGAGGAGACGCCGTCTTAAAATGAGGTAGACTGAGTCACGCGGGGTCAGGACTGATTTGGCTGGAAACTGAAGACTGTTCCTTCCGTGGCTCACAGGGGTGATCAGGCAAAGACCAGTCGGCGAGCTTGTACGCTTACTTTTTGAACAACCCACAATGCTGGCTGCTCGGGAGACTGGAATCCTCTTTCTCATCAGTCACCCGCTGTGCTGGGGGCCCCCACCCTTGTGACCGAAGGGTCCTCCTGGGGAGGCTGGCTGGCCTTCACGCCAGCGGTTCTGCTCGTGGGTGTGAAGGTGAGAGGTGGGCCCCGCGTGGACCCTCCGCACGGGCGTGGTCCCGGAGAACTTGGCTTGGTACACCCGAGGGCCTCTCTGGAAACCGGTGGGCGTTTCGTCCTCCCAGGGCCGGCGCCGGCACACGCAGCCAGCCGCAGCCCTGGCCCGCTGCTGGCTGTTCCGGTCGCGTTGTGTGGGAGCCCAGTGAGTTTGCATCCAGACCCCAAGGGCCGTGTTCACGCTGCACGAGAGTTTTGTTCAATGTCGTTTCGTTCAATGTCGTTTCTCTATCACGCTGAAGAGAAGGAAGCAAACCTGGCTGGCTTTGAAACAAAGGATATTATTTGAGGAGCTGGTTTCATAATAAGTCGTTTTGCTTAAACTCATGTTTTTGGAGACTCCGTCTGACTGACGAGTGGGGACTTAGCGCACATCTGCAGAACTGAGGGCGATGAGACAGCGCGGACCCACACACCTGGAATATTTGCCGTCTGCAGAAACGTTTGCTGCCACCTGCTCTCCACCAAGCCTGACCAAAGGACTTTCCCTAGGATGGGAAAGTGGACGAGGACGAGGCAGCTTGGGGTCCCCAGGAATGCGTGGCAAGGCGTATCGTGCACCTGTGTGAGGCATGCAGCGGTGGCGTGAGCTGTCGAGGCCGTCAGGAGGGACGTGCTCCCCATGGCTGGAGGGGGTGGACTCCAGTCACATCGGGGCCCTCTCGGGAGGCCAGGTGCCCCTTCGCACGTGTCCCTGATGTGAGCGTGTAACCGGGGGGGCTCCTTCAGTGCCTGGAATAGCGTTGGTCCTTGGAGAACAGCCTGGTTTCAGAAGGACAGGAAGTGAGAGAGGAAGGCGGCGAACAGGCTGCCCAGCACTCAGGTCTACCCGGTGTTCACCCTCCGGGACTCCTTCCCAAGGGCTAGAGGGGTGGCGTGTGCTGTGTGTACGTGCACGTGTGTGTATGTGTGTGTGTATATGTGAATGCGTGCATGTATGAGTGTGTGGGCATGTGTGAGTGTGTGTGAGTGTGAGTGTGTGTGAGGTGCACCATCTGTGCTCTCTGCTGTCTTAGTCCCTTCCCTCCACAGACAGACTCACGCACACTGGAGGCCGGGCCATGGGCAACGAGGAGACAGAACCAGCCTGTGTGCACCTGGGTGTGAGTGTTTAGTCCACGGGGTTTGACCCAAGAGACCAGGGTCCACTTAGCCCGAAAGGCCCCTACTTGACATGAGCTCTGTTCACCCAGGAGGCTCCTGGTTCTGCCGCCCTGTGGGTGAGAAGCCGCGAGGCTGAGAGGGGGCGCGAGAGGAACACGGGGGAGCTGGCTTTCCCGCTGCAGTTGAAAGCTGCCCGTTCTTTAGAGGAAGCGATGCAGGAAGGAGAACAGACTCGGTGGCGTCTTTCTCTGCTCCGTGTGTGGGATGCCGTGGGCGTCTCGGGAGAAGGGGGTTGCTCCCCCCGGTTACGATGGCCGGACACGAGACTGTGGAGATCTCATCCTCGTGACGAGGACACAAGTCCCAGCCCCTCATGAGCTGACCTGAGAGTGAAATGCATGTGTTGTTCCAGGAGGAACCTCAGCAGATGGGGGACGCACTGAAGTATTCCTTCCTGGGAAATAGAATAGTCTCTAGAAACCTCGATTCGGAGGCTCCTGCCCCACGGCGAGTTTGCTGCGGAGACCCAGCGTGCGCGGTCACGTTGGCTCGTGATGCAGTTTCCCCATCTTTAAAGCCAGAGTCACACATACTCTATAGGCTGTGGCTGCTAGAGATTGTCGCTACGGCGGGCGTGTGGCAGCGGCAGCCTCTGTGGAGAGACCTGAAGGTCTTGAGCTTCTGGTGCGGGGATGGATGGGCTTTCCTGCCTGCCGCCGCCTCTGGCTCTCATCTTCCCGGTACTTCGCGTCGCCTCTGCTGGCTTGCAGTTGGAACAGGCTGGGCCAGGGCTGCCCAGATCCGGAGGGCCTGCCCCATGGGCTGTGTGCTCTGGCCCCTGGTGGCCCCGGCTGGGCTGTGCCCCGAGGTCACGTTCACAAGGGAATACGGTTTGGGTTTGGGTGAATTCTCTGGGCTGTCTGAGCCATAGAATGCTGGGCTGAAAACATGACAAAGAAAAGTTTCTTTTTTCTACCTTAGTCATGCGTTTGTGTTTTCTCTAGTCCTTCAGGTTCCCGACCTTTAACACCTAAAAGCGATTCAGAGTTGGTCAGTAAGTCCATGGACAGACCGAAGAACAATCTAGAAATGCTCTGGCTCTGGGGAGAATTGCCACAAGCTGCAAAGGTCAGTTTCCCCTCGGTTCTGTCCTGCCCTGAAGTTTTCGAGTCTAACCACGGAACACAGGACCAGGGCCTGCAGGCAACTGAGTATATTAGGGTTCACCCCAAAACACAGTCGCTTTTTCAGCACCAGCAATATGATAAAGAGGTTTCATTTGAAGCCATCAGGGACTGCTCTGACATTGGGACCTACGTGACTAAACGCAAACCAAATTTTACAATGTTTGCTTTCTGCACATGTATCCTGGGGTCCTGCGGTTACTGTAAACACAAGTATCTCCCACCTCTCAATTCTGCAAGCGTGACGTGACGAGGGAGAAGGCGCCGGAAGAGTGGTTTGGGGGCTGGAAGCTGGGCCAGTTGATAAGAAGTCCCAGTGAGTTGTGAGAGCTGCAGTGTACGTGCTCGTGTGTGTGTGTGTGTGTGTGTGTGTGTGAGAGCGCCCATGTGTGTGCGCGCGTGTGTGTGCATGCGCGTGTGTGTGCATGTGTGTGAGCGTGTGTGTGAGTGTGAGAGAGAGACAGAGAGATAAAGGTTCTTGGGAGGGCACTGGCAGGAGGGAAGGCGGGTGGAGCAGACACGGAAGATTTGGATCTAACCAGTAACCAAAGTCAGGGAATTTTAAGGCTTTGATGTTCGTCATGTACTATTTTTGGACCCTCCTTGTTGGTGGGATTTCATCCTGTTGGGATTTCCAGGAGAATTAGAAAAGCAGCTGCAGTGTGGAGAGAATGAGGGGCCTGGGAGGAACCTGTCCTGGGGTCCCCACCCCCCGTCAGCAGTGACCCCTGAGCCTCGTGTCTCCTGTAGGATGGGAGGAAGCCATCGCGATGACGTGTGTGGCGTGTCTGGGGCTGGTTGGACCCTCTAACGATTTGATTCCTTTCTCCGACCGTGCCTCGTCCATACACGGCCTCGGCTCCCTTGTCTGGGGGTGCTCGTGGGGGACTATTGCGGGGATAACAGTGGCTTCCTGAAACATGCAACGGACTCGGTCTTGTCTTTCAAGACATTTTGTTTCACGTTCCGATGAATGACATGACTGTTTTGTAAGCGTAACCGAAAGGGCGCTCTGCCTGTGTGCCCCTGGAAAGGTTGTCTGGGGGAGGATGAGGCGTGGAGACGGCGTGGACACGCCTCTTAGACTCAAGATGGGCGGCTCTTTGGGGAGCAGGTCTGTTGAGGTGAAAGGGCTGAGGTTATGTTGGTTCTCATGGAAAACGCAGTATTTCTGCCCAAAGCCCGGGTGCCGACCTCGCCCGCTGTCTCCCCGAACTCATGTCTGTGTCACTGGAAAAATGGCGTGAACGTGCCAGCCCATCCCTCCCACTGACCACAGACTCACCAGCTGTTTCCATGTGTGGTAGGAGCCCCGACACCAGAGTCAGAAACGACACCCCTTTCTTTCCCTTCTTGCTCACCCTCTAATTATAGCTTGCTTCTCCTTGGAGAAATATTTTCCATACCCGCAGACTTTTTGGAGAGGTTGACTCGGCGATGTTTGTGCCCCTCTCCGAGACCCAGCCACAAGCCTCCACTTACTCACGTTTGGGGGCAGACCGTGTCGGGATAGATCACACGAGCACGTGTGAACGTGCTGCACACCGTGAACGTGTCCATGCCACTTGCCCCCAGACCAGGCTGCAGAACCCGCTGGCAACTCAGGGGTCTCCCTCATGCCCACTTTGCAGCCCCTGCTCAAGCCGCCCCCTACGGGGATAAGCAGGATCCCGACTCGCGGCAGAGAATCGAGGTGCAGGATTCATCGTGTTGCTGTGGGAATTGTAGCTTATTTATTCTCGTTACTGCCAACTTCCCGTGGCGTGGATATACGCCCCGGTCTCCTGGTGAACGCAGGGCCACGTCTGCTTGGTGGGCATCACTCATCTCACTGCCACGTCTATGCCCACAACTGTCGTTGTTTTATATGGAAGCTCATTGGCTTTGGAGCTGATATTTCTGATTTCCAGACCTCCTTGCAGAAAATCACCAGGCGAGCCCTGGGCCGCCAGCCTCTCCCTGCACAGTGTGCGGACAGCTCCCCGCAGAGGTTGCAATGACAGATCTCCCTGTTTAATCCCCTTCTTCTGTTTGCAGAGCCCTGAACTTCTCCCTCCCTCTCTCTCTCTCTCTCTCTCTGTCCCTGCCATGTAGTCGTCTCCACACAAGATGAAAGAGGACAGCCCGTTGAGCAGTAGGAAAATCTACGACAAGATACACTTTCAGGCCATTCACAGCGAGTCTTCCGACACGTTCAGTGACCAGTCGCCGACACCGGCGGGGGCGCCCTCTGAGCAGGTGCTGTTCGAGCAGAGCAAGCCCGAGACAGAGATGCAGTTCGTGAATGAAGACGACATGGAGGCCCTCGGGGCCGCGGCCCCGCCTCTGCCTGCGACGGAGGAGCCCAAGTCCCTCTCTGCTGGTGTGGCCCCGGCAGCGGGCAAGATGGATTCGCCTTCCAGGAAAAAAGGTTTGAGGCTGGGGTTTCCCGGCTCTTCCTGTGCAGGCCTGTGGGTCTGCCCAGCACGTTCCTTCCTTGGGAAGTTCAGAAGTATCAGGGCGGAAGCTGAAGCGTAATGTTGCTCACCTGTCCCTGTCCTTCGCTGGTAGCTTAGTCGTTGGAATCTGGTCGTTTACCTGGGGAGCAGGGGATGAGCCCCTTCTTTGATAGACAGGGGCGCTGCATGGATTAAAAGCTTGTCTGCACTTGGGGCCCATCCAAAGTGAATTTTAGGAAGTCGATTATTACGCGCGTCCTTGGCTCCTCCCCTGGCTGCTAAGCGCGCTCCGGGGCCGCTGATCCTGGCGTCCTCGGGCATTGCCTCATTTGGGTTCTCATCCCCTTTAGCCCCTTGCAAATGACCACTTGCTTGTTTCACTGATGCCCATTCAGAATGCGCATCCCTATGCGAACACGTGTCTTCTGGGTCGGTCTGTCTTTGTTCCTGGGGCGCGGACAGCGGCCGCACCCAGAAGGCGCTCCTTTGCTGCTCCCCTGGCCACGCGTCAGGAGCCACGGTGTCGGGCTGAATCTGATAGCCGCCCAGCCCGGGCCGTGCCTTGATTCCTCTGACCAGTGATGGGGTTCTCTGCCGGCGGGAACGGGAGGTCCTCAGTCCTGGGTGCCGTGACTGATGGGATCCAGCCCGGATGCCGGCCCCGAGCATGGACGGGCAGGCGCTTACTGGACGCTGTTACAGTTTAATAATAAAATGGTGGTGCTTCATGATACTGGCCTTGGCAGGCTTCAAGCACTTCCTGGGCGGGGTGGCGCCCTCACTTGAGCACCACACAGCAGGCGAGTGCGGGCCTCAGGCAGCCCAGCCGGCCGTGGCAGCCTCTGCGCGGTGCCTGGCGCTGACTCTCCTGTGCTTTTGGGCCAGTTTGGGCGCCTTTGCGCGAATCTGGGTCCTGTGCCTTGATTGATGCTCACCGTGGAGCTGTCCTCCCATCCAGAGGTGGTTTCTGGAGGGACGTGCTGTGACTAGACCCTTTGCTCTTCCAGACAAGCGGAGCAGACACCTCGGTGCCGACGGCGTCTACCTGGACGACCTCACCGACATGGATCCGGAAGTGGCTGCTCTGTACTTCCCCAAGAAGTAAAGTTTACTCCTAGTCCTCATCTCATTTTCTGCCCTCTGACGACTCCTTGTGAGACTGTTTTCCCTTCTATCTGACTGGAAAGTGTGTAAAAGGCAGCAGCGGAATTTGCACACTTGGCGGTGAGAAGCAGCCAGTGGGCACAGCGGGCCGGTGTCCTGGCGTGTCTGGCTTCCACCTCTGAGCAGGGCAGGCCGTGGCTGTGTTGGGGTCAGTGACCCACAACCCTGTAAATGGAGGTGGGTTGGGGGGGCTGCTGCACAGCCCGCTCGCTCCCTAGGAGCTTGCACAGCCCTGGGGACCCGCTTCACACTCCTGGGGTTTGCAGGGCAGGCCAGCCCTTCGGAGGGTGACAGCACAGAGCCGGCCATGGGCCCCTGGCCTGGCGCTGGCCGCCAGGTTCACCGCACACGGGCCCGGGCAGGGAGGCTCACGGGAGTCGTTTTCTCTCCTAATTCATGGCACTTCTCTGTCTTGGTCCTGGCGCTTGAGGACATCTGGCCACCCAGGGAGTGCCTGGTGCCTCTGAGGGGCAGCCGAGGGCCGCCGTCCCCGTGTTCTGTGCGAGCCCAGGTGAGGGGCGTCCTCAGAGCGTCTTCTCCCCTCCCTCCTTCCAGCGGAGACCCCTCCGGCGCCGCCAAGCACACCAGCGACAGCGGGCCCCGGTCAGCCAACCAGTCTCCGCAGTCCGTGGGCAGTTCCGGCATCGACAGTGGCGTGGAGAGCACCGCGGACGGCGTGAGGGACCTGCCGTCCATCGCCATCTCCCTCTGCGGGGGGCTCAGTGACAACAGGGAGATCACCAAAGGTACCTGCCAGCCGCCGGGTCTCGGGCTGCGCCGCACTCTCGTGGCCACTGTCAGGAGGCCGCCTGCGCGGCCGAGGGCCCCCGCGGGGGTTCCTGTGGGCGCCTCCCCCCGGGCTGTGGTTAATGAGCATCCGGGACTTCTTGCCTCGCGTGGCCCGATGTTGCCGGCTTCAGGCACAGCAAGGTCCCGGGCCTGGTCTTCAGGTGTCTGCTGAGCCAGGTGCTGTCCTGCCCCGCACCAGCCCTGCCCCTGGCGGGAACGCCGCCACAGGGACGCGCAGTGGGGGCCGGTGCCGTGAGACTGGGGGCCTGGGCAGAGGGAGGGGCTTGTGAGGTTGTCTGAGCCCTTCCCGGGGGGCTCTGAGGGTGCTCTGGGCAGGCTCTCAGGATGTTAGTTCACAGAGCACAGTACCTCACCAGCGAAGTTACCCTGTGACCCCCAGCTGTCACCGACTGGCGACTTCTGTGGCCGTCCTGGCAGCCCGGCGCGTCCTCTTCCACTCTTGTGCCCACTGTCTCCTTTTGTCCACCCCATGGTCTGCGTGGCTCGAGGGGAAGGGGAGGCTGTGTGCTTCTCCCTGCCTCTCCCGCCTGCGTGCGTCCCTGTCCCGGCTCCCTCCGGCAGTGCCTGTGAGGCTTGGTGTTTCTTCTCACACAGAGACCAGGGGCCCACAGTTCTGTGCCTGAACCAGCCAGTCCTTCACTCATGGTCAAGGGAAGCAAGGTTGCCTTGCGGATCTGGCCGATTAGTCTCTTCCAGGAAGTCTTCCTAGATTGCCCTGACCCATTGTATTTCTGAAACTCCGACATCAACCCCTCCGAGGCCCTGAAGGAGCCCGGGGTCATTTCGGCTGGTGGGGAAGTTGGGGGGTTGTGGCCTGTTGGGCGCAGGGTTTACTGTTCTGAGAGTCACCTGCTGGGACATGCAGGTAGGCCTGGCGCCAAGGCCGGGGCCCCTGAGGCAGGTATCTAGTGACCTGAGTCAGACTCCAGGGTACAAATTGAGGCTGGTCTGGGTTGGCATCATGACAGAGGGGCTGGTATCCCCGCAGGGGAGCCACCTGCAGTGTCCAGTGTCGGCTGGCTCCTGGCTCCATGCCAGGTCACTGAGCCACCCCCAGGGAAGCAGTGGGTGTGGACTAGGACCTGGAGGCTGTGCTGCCCTGGTCAGGGTTCAAGGCCCTGCGTAGCTGAATAGGGGATGTTGCGGGGAAGCCGGGACCTCAGGTGGTGCCATCACAGACGCCAGGGTTTAGGGCTGTGGTCCAGACCCCTGACCCCAAGCCCTTCCCGCTGCTCTGAGCGAGGGAGGCTGGCAGCTGTGCTCAGCGTGTGTGCAGGTGGCTGAGCAGGGGCCCAGCCACCGATAGGGACCCTTTCCAATCCCGACCTGGTCCCTCTTTACCGCCACCAAGGAAGTGGGCCCAGTGGCGCCTGTCAGACGGGGACGGGAGGCCTGGGGAGGGTAATCTCATCCCCGGGGTCACAGAAGAGACCGAGGTGGCCCAGCCTCCCTTTCATCTGCTCCTGAGGGGTCCGTGTGCTGTGTTCTTCACACGTCTGTCTGGCCGGGTGACTGAGGGTTCGCTTGACCCCTGTGCTCAGCCCACCCCAGCCCCCTCACTTCCCCACAGACGCTGCCCCCCAAGCACACAGAAGCCCCCTTTACAAACCCACCTTAAAGGCTTGTGCACGCCCTTGGGGTGCGTCCATGCTCAGGAGCACTTGTGAGTGTGCGAGTGATCACCTGCCTGGCCTCTGACCCCGAGTTTCCTCTGTCCCCGCCCGCGATGGCTTCCCCAGATGCCTTCTCGGAGCAAGCTGTGTCCTATCAGCAGTTCGTGGACAACCCGGCCCTCATCGACGACCCCAACCTGGTGGTGAAGATCGGGAATAAGTAAGTTGCTCCAGGAAGGCCTCGGCCCTACATCATGATGCCGTTTCAGAGCTCAGGCTTGGGGAGGCTCGGAGCAGCTCAGGCTGGTTGTGGGAGCCCTTGTCGGCTTGCTCCTGGCGAAATACGCGCTGCTGTGTAGTTGGCAGGTGGATGGCGCATCTCTTGTGGCTTTGGGGACCGTCTGTGCTGGACTCAGCTCTGAGCAGCGGAGCACGGGGTCTGTGTGGGCCGACTGAGGCTGCATTCCTGCCGCCTGCATGTTGCCATTAAACGTGTTACTTCAGAAAAGAAAGCGGCTGGGCTGGGCGTCTGCCCTTTGAAAGCGGCACTGTCTGAAGTGGGGGAAGCGGGTGCAGGTGTTTTGCTAGAATGTTGACAGTCTCTTCTGCCCCAGGGTCAGGTGTGGGTGTTTCCATGTTACCCGGGCAGCTAGGAAGCCCCAGGCAGGGATGCACAGCTGCCCCAGGCAGGGATGCACGAGCAGAATGGGGCTTGCTGCCCAGCTGGGGCCCGGCCGCAGGGCAGGTTCGTGCCACCACCCCCACATTGCTTGATTCCTCAGTGTGACCCTGGAGGATCTGGGAGGCACTGCAAGGGCAGGGCCTGCCGAGGAGGGCCGGGGGTGTAGGCCACAGGGGCGAGCTCTTGGGGGAGTCTCCTGGAATTCTAGAGTTCTCCGTGCCTCTCGTGACATTAGAAAGGTTTCCAGTCTCTTTGACGCCTTTTCCTTGTTTGGTGTTAGGTATTATAACTGGACAACAGCGGCGCCTCTGCTCCTGGCCATGCAGGCCTTCCAGAAACCTTTGCCAAAGGTGAGCGTTAACATGAGAAAGAAGGGGCCGCTGGCGGGGTGGGTGGGGTGACCGGGGGATGGGAGTCTGATTTTAGAAACCACATTAATTATGTCACTCCCCCTGGAAGGTCTGTGCTACCTCTTGCCCTGTCTTGCCCTCTGGGGGTTCTGGCGGGGGCAGGACCCAGGGGTGAGGAGCAGCAGGGCTGTGTGTGGCTGGAGCGGGCAGCGGCCCTGGTGCAGGGAGGCAGCCCCGGTGTCTGCAGCCAAGGTGCGGGCTTGGGCCCGGCTGGCCTGGAAGATGCCGTGGATGGGGCGAGTGATGGGGGCTGCTAGGGAGGGAGGGTGAGAAGGCAGCTGCGCCCCGGCAGCCCACCGTGCCCCCAGCCTCCATGACCAGGCATTGCGCTGGGAAAAGCACATTTTTCCTGCACTGTGTCGTCTTCTGCTGGCTCAGCGCGGCTGACACTTAGCAAGTGTCCTGTGTGGTCCTGCGGGTGGGTCTGGGCATCTCGAAGCTGAGCTTCCTGAAGATCCTCTCAGCTCTCCGGCCACACTGGGTGCTCCTGGGCGTGCGTGCATGTGTGCGTGCGTGTGTGTGTGTGTGTGTGTGTGTGAGATTTGACTGTGACTTCCTCTCTGGCCGTTCTCTAGCTGGGAGCATTCCTCGCGCACGGGCCGAGCGTGTCTCCTGTCTGGTTTTGTTCTGGCCCCAGCGGCTCCCGTGGTGTCTGAGACACCCAGGACAAATTTTTATCTTCACGCGTCTCAGCTCTTCCAAGCCAGTCAGACAAAAGGCCACAGGATAGGGACGTAGTGAGGGATTTGGCGTCCTCGCTTGGAAACTCGAAGCAGTCATCCTCTGCGGCAGGTGCCGGAAATCCGCAGAGGGTGTCGGTGATCTCTCACGGCTCGTGGTCTTTGTCTAACTCAGAAACTTTTTATGCCTAGACTCGGTCAGTCTGGCTCGGACGGCTTGGGTTTTGTCACACCTGGGCCCTGCGTCCCCATTTCCAAAATTCGGGAAAACAGGCCTCCTGGTACTTCCGTAAGCCTGTGCCCCATCCGGGTTTTCTTTGAGAGAGATGAGTGAGGTGTTGGGAGCCAAGCCAGCTGTTCCTCAGCAGACACTGGGTGGGTTGGGCACAGGATGAGCACGCGCGTCTTACACCGCAGGAGTTTATTCTTCCACCAAGAGTCTCGGAGGCTGATACATCGGTCGGCTTCTCCGTGACGTTCCAGGCTTTTCCCTTATGGTCCCAGACGACCGCCCCGTGTCCTTTCCTCCTACAACCACACCCCAGACAGGACGGGCAGGGCCGGCTCCTCACAGGCGCCTGGCCACACCTGGCCACAGAATCGCTGCCGAACCAGCTGCTGGCCAGACCCCGCCAGGACAGGTGGTGGCGACCCACCGAGGCCCGTGCTGTGGAGTCGAGCCCGCCTTCCTGACCGGGTCGCAGGCTGAGCCCTGCCCAGGGGATTGGATCTGTTGGCCAGAAGGAGAGGGGGTGACGTGCCCAGGAGGCCCCGGCAGGCTGTGTGGCTCCCTAGAGATCCCGACCCGTCCCGGCCTGGAAGCATCACGCCTGTCACCTAGGATGTTTCCTGGGATTCTGGATTTTTCCTGCACTTGGGCTTCTCCTGCACCTTGGCGCCTGCCCAGCCCTACATGCTTTTGATTACTGTCGCTTTCACAGTTTGTGTCTTAATACGCGCCGAGGCTGTGTCCCGACTGCTCTTCTGACTATTTTGTTTTTCATGTGAAAGTTAAATCCCCTTGTGAGGCCTATTAGTTTTTTTTTTTTTTTTTTTAAAATGGGATTTTGTTAGGTCTGCGGATGAAAGCAGGGACGGGGTGGTGTCATCTGTAGGGACGGTCCTGTTCACTAGGTGGGTTCAGCTGGTCAGGGATGCTTTTCAGTGGTAAAGAGAAGCGCCGTTCAGGGGGGTGGCGCAAGGGTTAAGATGCAACTGGGTTATGAAGCTGCCCGCAGCCTCTGCAGCACGAGTTCGATCCCCGGGCAGGGAGCTACCCACTGGCGCAGCAGACTCTCCTGTCTCCCCGCTGCTCCCCTCAGTGTACTTCGGTCAATCTGCCTGTTCTGCTCCCCACTCTGTCTCTGGTGAATCCTCTCACCCTCCCACCCCACACCTCTGGCCTGTGCCCCAGTTCTTGTATGCGTAAATAAATAAATCTTTAAAAAAAAAAGAGAGAGAAGCACCATTCAGGCTGAATATGGGGGTTATTTATGTTGCCACTTACCTGCAACATATGTTTCCACTTACCTGCTTGGTGGGAAGGCGTCAGCTTGCTTTCATTACTGCCTGAGGTGTTAACTGCCTGTTATTTCTGCAAACAGGGGTGGGAAGTAGGTAACACTTACCTTGGGACTGGAATCAGCCTGCAGATAGATATTTTGTTCTTTGGAAAGACTTAGAAAACTGTGACCCAGATGTAATCACCTCCCTCCTCCATCAAACGTTCATGGATTTGGGCAAGACGACGCCTTTTCTTTTTAATAGTTGAGATTTTAAATCAAATGCTTTTATCGTTCATTTTGTCAATAATTGGAAATTTATATTTACTGAAAAGATCCTGTGCGTTTTTACCTTTTGTTTAAGGTCGTTTTACCTTATACTTTATATTAATGACTTCATGTTTTATTTTATTGTCATCATATTGAGAGTAACAATGTCGTTACCAGTAAGTCACTTTAATTTGAAAAGCTTTGGTCTTACTAATCACTAATGATTTTTTCAATGCTTTCTTTTTCTTTTGTTGTTGTTGTGGTTTTTTTTTTATTTGTTATTTGTTTCTTCTTTTGACATCTTCTTAAGTCTTCATGCATAAGTTACCTTTATGTCATTTTGGACGCCATTAGGTTTTGCTTCTCGAAAATTTTTAATTCACAAATCGTATGTTGTGTTTTCTCCGAGTCTCTTTTCTTTTGGACCTTACTTTAATTTGCACGTGTGCTTCTTTTGGTTTGAATGTGCTGAGTTGATCTTTTTTTGGTTCCATTATTTATGTTGCCATCCATTTAAAACAGGCCACTGTGGAATCTATCATGAGGGATAAGATGCCCAAAAAGGGAGGAAGATGGTGGTTTTCATGGAGGGGAAGAAATACCACAATCAAAGAGGTAAGCCTGGGGCACGGGAAGGCCCGGCACTTGCGGGCTTGGGCAGGGGCCTTGGTGTTCCTGCCCTGACGTCAGGAGGCTGCGCCCTCGGGAGCCAGCTCTGCCTTGAGCAGAACGCTGGGCGTGGGGAGGAGCCCGGCAGGCGTGGCCTGCGGGGGCCAGCTGCCAGCCCTGCCCCCTGAGCATGGGCTTCTGCGCGAGTCGTGCTCATTATTTCATTCATGTGGCTCCCCTGGCTGTGCGAGGCCTTGGTTTCCATTTCCGGAAATGCCGTTTTTTTAAGATCTTGGTTGACGTTTCGAGCACTTTCTATGTCTGGCACCGTGCCGCTATGCCACCTGACTTTGTTTCCATGAGGGCTCTTCTGACCCCCATAAGGGGTCCCCAGGGGTCTGACCCCCCCCATAAAGGGGTCCTTCAGGTTGTCTCTGGGCTTCCTCTTCTGCCTTGGCCCCGCACCCTACCCAGGCAGCCCCATGTGTCGCTTGTTTTCAGACCAGACATTGTTCTGGGACCAGACATTGTTCTGGGCTCTGCGCCCGTTTATCAAGCAGCCCAGTCGGCAGCCGTGGCCTTGGGGATGCGTCAGGCGCTTCCCACTCCTCCCGTCTGGAACTGAGCTCCGCTCTTCTCTGAGTTTCTCCTTCACTGGACCATCATCAGGGGATGAGGTCACTACCCATCCGTGGCCGGAGCCTTCCATTTTCCTCAGCCCTCGCATCCAACGCGTCACGGAGACCTGTCAAGTTAGCACCCTTAGTGGCTCTCAGATTTACTCATTTCTCCCCAGCTCCAGGCCACAAATCCAGGGTATCAGCTCCCCAGATCCTGTGTGTAGCTATTCTTGCCTTTTCTTCATTCTCTAGTTACCTCGGTCTGCTTGCATACCTGTTCCTGTCATGTCACTGCCTGCTAAAAGGTGTTAGCCCTCTAGTGGGTGTGCAGGGCTGTTATGATAGTCAAGACTGATGACTTGCCCCTGATCTGCAGGACTTGTGGATCCTCCCCCATCTCACCTGGTAGCCTCACCTTCTGCCTTTCTCCTGGCTCTCTGGGCTTTAGCTCCACTGGCTGATAGTACATTCTACCCCAGGACCTTTGCATATGCTCCCTTCGCTACATGCTCTTCTTAGTGCTCCTTTATCTCTCCCCTCTTAACTAGACAGCAACTCCAAAGGCCTTGCCTGGCTGGCTGCTGTCTGTTCTGTTCGCAGGCCTGCAATTACTAGGGCAGCTCTTTGATTAGCATCTCTTTTTCTCCAGCTCCTAAGCTCCACGTGGGTCTTTAATCCCTGTGGTATCCCTGGTGCCCAGGCTGGACCCAGAGTGGGGGGTTCAGCCCTACTTTTGAGGGAATACTGATTACTTGGGAATGTGTATGAAGAAACTCCACAAGAGTGAAGATTGTTATAAAAGTAATGAAACCCCAGCAAGCTCCTTTTATTTCTGCTGTTAGTTCAAAGGGAAAAAGTGTGGGCTTTTGTCAAGACCCACTTGTTCTTTGACATTTTCCGTTCATATGCCTCAGTTTTATTTCCAAGGGGTATGGACAGGTAAGCTTTCCTTTAAGAGAACTTAGGACATCAGTCTGGTTCCCTTACTGGAGAGCTGATTTATCATGGGGTCTCCACATTCTCACTGTGTGAATTGAGAGGGAAGTCGGCATGAAATAAGGCCCCGTTAGGAAAGTAAATACTTTCCAAGGAAACTAACGCGTACAGATTTCAGATACAGACGTAGGTGTAGATCCTTTGAACTAGCCTGGCAGAGAATTATTGACAGTGGTTGCTTACTTGCCTCAGTAAATAGATAAAAAATTACTGGATATTTGCGTGCTTATCAAAAGCCAGAGTATTTGAGAATGGCCTCTCCTTACCAAATGTTAGGGTGGTCTCACAATTGCACGGTTCATATCACTCATTTTCTTTATTAACATTCTACAGCGGAGAACATGAACATGCCTCCTGGCAGGACGGTCACAAACGATGAGACGTCATTGTAGATGTTTGCCTCTGTCGTCTGGTCTGGGCCGGGTGACTGACCCCGAGGTTCCCTCCCCGCCCCCCCCCACCCTCAGGTGTCTGGCTTTGTTTCTGTGCCACGTGGTGACCACTGGCCTCTGCAAGGTCCTGCGACTTGGCCATGATTCCCGAACCAGAGACCTGACAGCCCAGGTCTCTTAGAGGCCCGGCGCGCTCCTTCTAGTACGTCAGAGCAGGGCTTCCTGTTAAGCGTATGCGGCATTGAAGAAGAGAGAACGCGTCCACGTTTTCCCCAAGCAAAATATGGTGTGAAAATGTTTTCAAGCATTTCTATCAGCAATTATAAGAAAATATTTTGAAAGCCCTTGGGTATCCAGGCAGCCCGGATCAGCGTCTGCGTGAGCTACAGCGATGACGAGCTTTGGTTGGCTGCCACAAACACTTACGGAAGGCAGACTTGTTTCTGTCAGATGTATTTCTCAGCTTCATTGTGTTGTCCTAAGCAGAGGAGTAACCAGGACCCGGCTCCCTGGGGCTGTGTGTCGGGGACGGGGCTCCTGCAGGCCTGGCCCAGCACAGCCCTTGGTGCAGACCCCTCCTGGGCACGCGCGCCCCTGACGCGCTCTCCTCTCCCCCCAGGAAAGTAAGCCGGAGCAGGGCTTGGCTGGGAAGAGCCACAGCACCGGGGAGCAGCCGGCGCAGCTGAGCTTGGCCACCAGGTACGCTGAGTCCTCTGGGGTGGGCTGCTGCTGTCCAGGGTCAGCGCGTGCTCAGGGGTCCCCACACAGCACAGGCCATTGACCCAGGTGGACCCGGCTTCCAGCCCTGGCTCTGTCCTTTATTCAGTGTCCTGCGCACGTTGGCATGCCCCGTCGGAGGGAAGCAGCTGCTCCCTGGGCTGCCTGCCCGGCCCGGAGCCGTCGTCAGGCAGCAGCGTGCGTGGCCGCAAGGCTGGGGCGCCTCCGGGGCTTGGTGCTCGGCGCCCTTAGCACACGGGAGGCTGCGCCATTGTGAGGGGGTCAGCGTTGTTGGGCGAGGGGCTGTGCACATGCGGGGGCTGCAGCACACAGCCTGGGTGTGTGGCGGGCGAGCCCACCCAGGTCATGTGGCCACACTCGGCAACCTTCCATGACCACAAAGAATCACTGGAGGGCGCATGCCCGGTTCTCCCCATAGAGGCCGTGATTGTACTGACAGCCGTGAAGCAGTCGCGATAAGCAATGCCATCCCAGAGACGTGGCCCAAGTGTCTTTTCTGGAAGAGTGTGCCCTCTCTGCCATTTAAATACGTCTAAGACTTACGTTGATACGTCCCTCAGAGTTGCTGCGGGTTCCCGTGTCCTTGGCGCTGAGAATTTCGATTTGGGTGGCACGATGGGCATTAGCAGCGTCCCACCTCCAGGTTAAACTGTTGGTGCTGGATTTGAGGCAACTCTCAGGGCGATGCTGTCACCCCCAGTTACCGTGGTGACTCTGCATGTGGACCCTGTCCTCGCCTCGCGCTTGTCCTTTTCTTCCTCGGTTGACAGAACGCGGACAGGGCCCATGGCGGGACGCGAGGTCAGCTGTCTTTGTGTCCTGGAGGTCCAGTGGCCACAGCTCCTGCTTCTATGAGATCTTCCCAGGAGATTGTTGACCCATAGCAGAGACTGAGACTGGGAGCCTTCAGCTCCTGGTCTTAAACTATTTTATTTCTAGAACGCGTTAGAATAGAACCCATGTGATGGCAGGCAGGACACAGATTTCTTAGGCTCTCTGTGGAGGAGTGTGCGGGAGCAGGTGACGCCGTCTTCACCGATGCCTCTGGATGACTTCTGCCGTCGCTGGCTGTGGTGCCGAGGACCCCACCTCTGCTCTCCCAGCAGACCCCAGCGACTGGCACGGAGGGGAGCCAAGGTGGCAGCTCGTGTGTCACATTCCAGCTTCACCCTTGTCTCGGCTCATCTTCCGGGGAGGGCTCCCCGGCCTGGTGGGATACTTTCCCTCTGGAGTTGAGTTTGACTTTGAGCTTGGAAGGGAGCGGCAGGTGAGTCCACCTGTGCCCAGGCTGGGAGCGCGTGCCATCCTCCGTCGGTGCCTGTAGACAGCTGGCAGGAGCCCTTGGGTGTTGCTGTGCATGGTGTGCTCTGGAGCCCAGGCTCTGGACAGAGGCCGCATCTCATCTGAGCAAAGGAGCAGGCGGAGGTTCCCTCCCAGGGCAGCTGGGGGAGGCTGCACAGGAGAGGCCGAGACCACCAGGGGGTCACGGCAGAGGCGCCCCCGTCTGTCCTAAGAAACTGAAGGTGGCTACACTGGCACCACCGGCTCTCCTCAGCTTCCGCAGAGGAGCCGCCCGTCCTGGCCACGAGCTGCAGACACCAGAGGTGGCCTGCGCTGGAGGCGAGAGCAGGAGGGTCAGTGCCTGCGCACCACGGGCGGATCCTTCAGCCTGTCGGTGTCCCCTCCTGCGTCTGTGAGACAGGGCTGGGACTGCTGCCGGCTCACGGTGTGGGCTCCTGGAATCCTCACAACAGGAGCCGGGAGGAGAGCAGAGTGGTCAGGGTGGATGCCCTGCGCCGGGGGGACACGGGCCGCCTCAAAGCCTTTAAAGTGGTCTCCGAGAGGTGACCAGACTCGGATGTCTGCCCAGTTCAGCCTGGAGCTGCCAGTTGTGGGCCTGGCAGACCTGGGCTCGCGGCTCCCCGAGGCTCGGGGTGGACTGTGATGCCACCGTCATGGGATGTGGCCCCATGGCTGATTCTCCCGCTGTCCAGCAGGACCGGAGGGCGCTGGTGGGGGCAGCAGGGACACTTCTGCGCTGCTCCCTGTGTTGGGACAAGCTGGGTGTGTTGGACGCGTGCTGGATTTTCCGAATACCTGACGCTCTCCGGTGCCAAGGTTACCTGCAGCGCCTTTTCCAGTGAGATGAACTGGCTCGTTCACTGTTCTAAACGAGCCACGCCGCCCTTCTTTGCCGGAGGGACTCTTGTGGAAGGGATGGGGATTTTGAGGCGTGTCAGCCCGATGTTCTCTTTGAGAAATGCAAATCGTTTCCTTTCGCTGGCATCTCCGGCTCTAGTCTCCTAATTAGAGCCACGCAGCTGAATTTAAAAAAAGCTCTTGGAGTGTTTTCCTAATTGACAGGCTTGATTGACAGACCCGTCCCTGAAGTCTCCCAATGCAGCAAACAGCTTGGCACCCTAAGCTCTTCGAGCACAGGTGGGAAACCCTGTGCGGAGACGGGTGCTCCCCTAGAGGTTCCTGGCGCCTGGTCGCATGTGCCTGCACGCGCCCCTTTCTTTGCTTTGTTGCTTCTTGCAGACGCTGTGGAGTGAGTGACCTGTGATCCCTATAGGCACAAGGGGGTACAGAATCCCCAGGTGACCGTGGGCCTGCCCCATGCCCGCCGGGACTGTGGCAGCCGACGGTGCAGCTCCCGGGCAGCCTGGTGTGTGTTTCCCTTGCCGTCCGCCGTCAAGCGTGGCGCGCTGCAAGGCCCCAGAGCGCGCGTCTCTAGAAGAGCAGATGGAAGTGGCAGCTCTCAGCCTCGCTTTCCGCGCCCACTGGCAGCGGCGCACGTCAGTCTGTTGTCACTAGAGCTCTCGTCGGCGCTGGGGTCTCGTTCCCCATCCAGACCGTCTGGTTGGAACATGAACACCCTAAGGCAGGGGGGCCTGGGATCTCATCTCCTGGGTTCCCACCCAGGGGTGCCCACTGGATGGGCTCCGGAACTTGGTCCACCACCTGTCTGAAGAGCTTGGGTTGTCGGTTCAGAAGATCATAAGATCTGCAGGGTCAGAACCGGAAGGGACTTTTGTCGGACGTGTCCTGTAACAGACGAGCCACAGAGGCCCAGGAGGAGGCTGGGTAGCTTTTCAGGCCCCAGGCCTCCCGGTCTGGTTATCTGCCTGTACCCTGAATGTCTTGGTGGGCCGATGCGGGTGGTTCCGCTGCTGTGGAACATTGGAGAGCAGGGCAGGAAGGAAAGAGGGATGTGACCAAAGTAAGACAGCCTGGGGTTCCTGTGCGGCTCAGCCCCATGTCCCTGGGGTTCTGGGGCCCTGAGAGATGGCGCCGGAGAGACCTTGCGTCATCTCCACTCTGCCTGGTGGCTGCCCACAATGTCGTGGACGTGGGTCCACCCACTCGTGGCTGGGCCGCCACACGCCAGCCCCGATCCTGTGTGCTGCCCCCCACACCCCCGCCACGTCCCTGTTCTCACACCGGAGTCACCAGGCATGTCCTGGCGACGGCCACGCCTGTGCCTCTGGCCCAGATTGTTCTGTGCAGCTCCCGGGCTGGCTGCTGCTCTGGGGCCTCCCCCGCTTCCCTGGGGTCGAGCTTGCTTGCTGTGTGCACCCTTCTGGCGAGTAAGCACTGGGGGCATGAACTCCCACGGCTCCCCTCCACCCCTGCATCCCAGGAGCTGAGCCCTGGAGCCGGTGCTTTGGGAGGGCAGCTGCTCTCCACGAGAAAGAGCCAGGTCACCGCGTTGGAGGTGGAGGTGGTGAGGACGGCCGGGGAGCAGCGGGTGCTCATGGCATCTTCCCCGTCTCCCCGCGTGGGGACAGGCTGCACTGTGGGGACTGCTCTGGGGTGAGCATGGGGGCCAGGGAAGCAGTAGGTTGGTGGGAGAACAGCTGAAGGACTGGAACGCAGGAGAGAGGATGGGCCGCTGGGAGCTGGCTGAGGTGAGAGGCGGTGCCCCTGCGGTCACTGCCAGAGGGCGCGCCCTGTGGCCAGCTGTGCGGGAAGCGTGGGCCAACCTGCCTGGGGGCCACATGCCTTTTCCATTTAGCCTCACAAATGTTTATTAACATTTCACAAGATGTTTTTAAAGTTAATGGTCTCAGGAAGCAGAGCTAATGCAGCCAGGTGGGGGGAGGTGTCTTAGCAGGACGCTAATGGCAGGAACAATGAGTTACTGATGAGCTTTTGAGGAGCTTTTTAGGGAAATGACTTGCATCCACCTGCATCCTAGTCCCTCACCTGACAGAAAAGTCTAGAAGAGTCAGGAGCTCTGGCCCGTGGGTTCCTTTTGGCAAATAGGGTATAGTCCCTGCTCCTGGGGCAGCTGGCATGGGGGGGATCATGGGGACCTTCCTTGTCCGCACTGGTTCCCCATCCCCTGCTCGCACGTCCTAGGGCACCCCAGTTCTGTGGACTCGTGTGTCCGGAAGGTAGACATGGAGACCGGACGGGGATACCTGGGGCTTGGCCGGCACACGGAGGCGGGGCTGGCAGGGCTCCTGTGTGAGCACCCTGCCTGGAGGGAGGACCAGGAGCTTCCTGGCTCCACATGGAGTGACGTCAGCGTCAGCAGGCTCGTGCCCGGGGGAGGCAGCCGGGGTGCATGATGCAGGCGCCCGCGCCGCGCCAGCCAGTTCATTGATAAATGTCCCGCGAATGGTAAAGGACCCAAGAGACGGATCTGGGAGAGACCCCGTCGGCTCCGCCATTGATTCCCCGCTAATGCATTTTTAATGGCCAGCCAGATGCATTTCCTAATTGGCAATACATCACCGTGTGTTCCAGAATCAAGCATGAATCATCCTCCAGCGACGAGGAACATGCCGCCGCCAAGCCGTCCAGCACCAGCCACCTCCCTCTGTTGTCGAATGTCAGCTACAAGAAGACCCTCCGCCTCACTTCAGAGCAGCTGGTGAGTGGCGCGGCCCAGGGCGGGTTGCAGGTGCCCCTGATCTCAGGGCTCCCACCTGTACCTTGTCTATCCCGGTGCACTGGCCACCTTGGGCCCCTCCTCTTGGTGCCCATGTTTGTACCTGGCCCCGACCTTGTGGGCCAGAACCCTGGCTCCTCGGCGCCGTGGTCCTGACGCGGCCCGGAGGCTCCTGCTCTGCTCAGTGGCACTTGTCCCGAGACGTGATGGAGCAGCAGCCCACGTCTCACTTGCAGAGATGTGTCGCTCAGCGCCTCACCCACTGGGGGGAAGTGAAGCAATTGTGCGGGGTGTGGAGTCTTTCCTACCAGTTTGAGTTCCGCCCTCCCCTGTGGACCCCATGTCCTGAGGCAGCGAGCAGGCAGCCCCGCTCTTAGGGGTTCCCACCCTCACCAGCGGGGAGCCGGGTCTGGCTGTTTCCTGCAGACATCAGACCTGCTGACCCCGCTCAGCCATCAGCGCTGCCTGCTGGGGCGGGGGTGTGTGTGGGGGGCGGAGAGGGCCACTTGCCCTGTGGCTGTGCGACACAGCTCCAACCAGGGTGGGGCCCCCCCAGTCAGGCAGCCCGCTGGCCTGCACCAGGGGCTCACTGCAGAGTCAGGTGCGCCAACAGGGGAGGTTGCTTCTGAATCGGCCCTGGTTTCCCGGCGCCCAGACCGTGTGCTTCTGGGTCTGAGGTGTGTCCTGACCACAGTCGGTGTCTGCCTTAACCCTAAAGAACTTGGTTGTCGAGGGAAGCATTTTTTTCATGCTCGGCTTCAACCTGCCTCCTGGTCACAGACGCGGCAAGGGGGGCTGATTATTCACACCAAGTCCTAGAGCCATCATGTCACCTACCTGAGCAGTCCCCCCGGAAACTCAGGGGCAGGCTGGGCACATGGAACCCGCACTGGGGGCTGCAGCATTGCAGGCAGGCCTCGAGGAGAGCCGGGTGCAGGTGCCCCGACCCTAGAAGAACTGTCCCCCGGAGCAGGGCAGGGAAGCAAGACCGTGACGTGTGCACTGAACAAGTGATCTGAACCCGGCCTCTGGCATGGAGGCCACACGAGCCCCCAGCCCCTCAGCCAGACACGTGGTCTTGTCTTTCAGAAAAGCCTCAAGTTGAAGAACGGCCCGAATGACGTGGTCTTCAGCGTCACGACGCAGTACCAAGGCACGTGTCGCTGCGAGGGCACCATCTACCTGTGGAACTGGGACGACAAGGTGGTCATCTCTGACATCGATGGCACCATCACCAGGTGGGCCGCTGGCTCCCACCCCTGGCCCCGGGCCTGATGATTCCACCTCTGGGCGGACAGGGCATCGGCCCCTGGCTCTGCTACTCGGGCGGGGTCCTCCCTATGCCTGTCTCAGGGCCCAGCACTTGGGCTTAGCCCGTTGCGTGAGCCATGGCACCCTCTCGAGGGCCGCCGTGTCCCTCCCCGTGTAGCCCCACTCTTGAGTTTGGGGCTTTCTGTCCAGAAAGCAAGTCGTGGGTCTCCCCTGCAGTGTTTTGTGTTAGGCACTGATGGTGCTGTGAGTGGGAATGGGCATCTTGCTGGGCGATATCCTCTTCATGCCACGCTTCCCGTTTCTGTCTTTGTTTAGATCAGATACTCTTGGCCACATTTTGCCCACCCTCGGGAAGGACTGGACCCACCAGGGCATTGCCAAGCTGTACCACAAAGTAAGCCAGTAAGTACCAGCCCCTTCCGCCCCCCACTGGTGTGTGGACATCTCTGCCCTGGGGGTCGCTGTGACCCAGGGTGTCCTTGGGGGTGGCGGTGGGGCGTCCAGCCCGCTTCAAGCCTGAGCTCAATGCCAAAGGGCGGAGAAGAGAGGTGAAAGGCGAGTGGAAAATCGTCAGCATCAGGGGCGGGGCTGAGGCTCTGCCCACACTGAGGAGGGCGGGTACTCAGGTGAAGATACCGAAGCCTGATCAGGCCCGTCGGCGCGGCTTCAGGCAGTACCCACAGAGCTGGCCCTGCGAGCCTTGGCAGCCCACACTCGGGCCCTGGAACAACATGGTGGGCTCGGCAGGGCCTGTGCGGGCGCACCTGCAGGCGGGAAGCGTTCCCCATTTTAAAGAAACGCCTGTGATGGGAATAAGCCACCTCCCTGGTGCCCCTGGCAGTTGCCAGCCTTCTCACTGTTTCCAGCAGGGACACAGGAAGCACTTGACTCTAGAGTCTGTTCCCTAGAATGAGCATCTAGCAGGGTGGGGAAGATGCCCCGACCGGGGCCTGCAGGCAGTTGATTCCCAGAAGCAGAATTGCTGGGTGGGGGGCAGAGAGTGCGTCCTGGGGCGTGATCAGTGTCTCTGAATGGCCCCTGCCAAGGCCCACCCACTCTGTGCTTCTCGACAGTGAGGTGCAGACCCCTCGCCCCACAGCTGACCTTTCATTTAAAAGGGTTCATCTGCCGATGAGCCGCCCCACTCCCAGGGCCCTAAAAATTGCAGCTACTTTTTGGTTGGAAGAGACCCTCTGGGTCAGGCTACTCAGGCTGATTCATTCTGGTTTTTGGACTATAAATCCATTTCTGTCCTTGCTGTCTGTCACGTGGGGAAGACATTTGCTGTTTCTTTGGGTCTGGAATTGTGTGTCTCGGATATTTCTAGAAAAGGTACCTCCTTGGAAAACTTGTGTGGCTTTGCAGAGAACACCCCCTGGCCCTTTTCTTTGATGTTTGGCTCAGAGGGACTGAAGCTGTGGGCATGAGCAGCGTCGGAGAGAGGGGAGCAGACTGGGCCTGGGGAGGGCTGCAGAGAGGATGGTAAACGTGGAGCCCCTGCAGGCTCTTTGGGGGAATTTGCTACAAAGGGGAGCAGAGATGGGATTTGATCTGGAGCAGTGACTCCTCTGGGGGGTGGTTCTGTTTTGTTTTTTGGTGGCGGTTGGTCTTTAGGAGGCGATGAGAGAGGTTTGCTTGTATTTATACGCCCCCAGGGATTTCCCAGGGGAGAGGGTGCATGCGTGGGGGTAGGATGCCCCTGGCAGGTGCCCATGTGGCTGGCGGCCCTCAGCCCGCACCGGGTGTGGGGAGTGTGGGCGGGGCGGGGTTGGGGGTAAAGCCAGGACTAGATACCGACCCAGCGGTGTCCCCTGAGGATCAGCGAAGTGGGGGACTGTGAAGGTGCTGTGAAATGCACCGTGGCTTGTTCCTCAATTGAAAATAGGATTTTTGGACATTGGACGTGTACTCGCGGCAGCGCAGAGATGGGGGTTTGTGAATGCAACACAAGCCGTCTCCTGATGCCACGCAACATGAGCATTTTGTTTCTTTGCAGAAATGGATATAAGTTCCTCTACTGCTCAGCGCGTGCCATCGGGATGGCGGACATGACGAGGGGCTATTTGCACTGGGTCAACGAGAGGGGCACTGTGCTGCCCCAGGGGCCGCTGCTGCTGAGCCCCAGCAGCCTCTTCTCTGCCCTGCACAGGTACCTTGCCCCAGGCCCTCTCACCTCCTGCCTGAAACTGTGCAGGAACAGCCCCTCCCCGCTCCTGTCCACAGTGGACTTCAAAGCCTGCCCCCCGACCCCCGCAGCCTGTCCTTGCCACCTCTCGGCTCTTGGGATTGAGTCCAGACTCACCCGCCTTCGTGCGCTGGGCTTCTCTTGGGTCTCCTTTCTCTCCTTGTCTAGAATTCGCTCCCTAGCTGTTTCCTTGTCCCCTGCTCTGGGCACCTGTGGGTGCCTGCCCCATCCTCCCTCCTGCCCCACCTTGACAACTCCCAGAAGCCAAATTCCCGGAAGCCACTTGCATTTCTTCTAATCTGGAACCCAGGCTGGGTCACATGACCCCAAGCCCCATCCCTACCCGTAGCCATCCCCCTCTCTGCCTGGACCCCATGATGTTCACTTCCCTGGAACCTTTATGAGAAAAGAACTCCAGCCGGAGTTGAACTCAACAGCTTGTCCCAGGACCTGCTTCGTTCTAGCTTGTTTTGTTTACGGTCGAGGTCATGTTAACAGAGGCCTTACTGTAGGGACTGAGGAGTGAAATTGTGGGGCCACAGAGCAGGCATACACCCAGCTTTATTAGGCCTTTCCAAGCTCTTCTCAAAAGCAGTCGAATCAATCGATCACACACCGGCAGAGGATTAGTGTCTGGCTGGTTCTGCTTTCTTGCCCACAGGCTTTCTGCTGTTTACATTTTTGTCAGTCTGCTGGGTATGAAATATCCCTTTTCACCTGTTTATTGGCCATGCCCGTCATGACTTGTGCTCTGTATCCTGTGTACCCAGCCTCTTTCGTGAATGCTGCATTTTCCCCCAGTATGTGGTCTTGATAAACAAATTTCCCTACTTTCTGGCTGTTGATCATCACCTCCTCTGTGTAGCTTGTGCTTTTGGTGTGCTAATGAGCCTCCTGGCTGTGGCTGACTCCTGCCTCTTACCTGAAGGCGCTGCCCGTCCCACTTAGGTCTGTACCCTGCCAGGAACTGGTTGTTGCCTATGGAAGGGGTCCGGGTCTTCTTCTGAGTTTTTTCCTGGCACCATTTTGCTGAAAAGGCCACTCTCTCCGCCTGAGTCATGAGCCCTGTGTTGTGACTGTGCTGCACCTGGTGGCCTTGCGCGCCTGCTTAGCTGCTGGAATCACATTCCATAAAAACGTGAAAACCTTTTGAGAGTTTAACTGAGATTCCAGGGAATCTGTAGATCAACTTACAGGAAGAACGACTCTCTCATTATATTATCGATCCTTCCCACTCAGTTATGTGGTACATTTCTTCGTTTATTTAGGTCTCCCCTAATAGGTTTCAGTGGAGTTTTATAGTTTTTTCCAAGGTCTGGCACATCTTTCAGGCTTACTCCTCGGATTCGGAGTTTTAAAATTTGATTTACAGAATTACATTCTATACCTATTTGTTTCTAGTGCATGAAAATACAGTTGCATTTTGAACACTGATTTTTTTGTGGGGGGCACGTTCATTTAGTTTGATTTTGGAACTGGTGACGTTATTGCCTATAATAATCATAATTTATGCAGATCCTCTTTTTTATGTAGATGGTAATTTTTTTTGGTGAAAAATGACAGGTGTTTTCCTTCCACGCCAGTCAGCACGCCTTCTTTGTGCTTGTCTCTCTTCAGGGCGCGCCTGCGTTCCCTCCTCTTCCTAGGGCGTCTGCTCTGGTCCTGAGCCTTCCCTTCTCTTCCTGGGTTCTGTCTTGATTAGATGTTGAATTGTCCCCAACGCCCTGTCTGTGTATTTTGGAACGATATTTCTCCTCCTCTTGTCTGCTTGTGTGTTGTATTACACAAAGAGTTTAAACCTGAAGTTATTCTTGCCTTCCTGGGCCAAGACAGTGAGGCCTCACTGCACTAGGCTTGCACGTCCGCATGGGCTGATGTGTCTGCACTTACATGCTCTAGGAGACCGATGCTATGTTCCTGCTTCTCTCCTCTTCTCTGCTTTGGCTTGGAGGCCACGCGTGCCTCACATAGCAGCTGAGAGCTGTTTTGGAGTCTTCATTCCGTGGGCGACTGGCACTCTGGGGTGACATCATCCGTCCCTAGAGTTTGCTTTGAAGGGAGACTTGAAAGTGGATTTGCTTTCTGTCCGGTGCCTTCCTGGGGCTTCCACTTTCTTAACCTTTGAGGCCTCAGCTGTGTTCTTAGGGATCCTGCATCTCTGACAGTCCCAGGCAGTTTGATGGTTCTGAAGACTCTCTGCTCAAGCTGATCCTTTATTTATTTGTTTGTTTGTTTAACAGAGAAGTGATTGAAAAGAAGCCAGAAAAGTTTAAAGTCCAGTGTCTGACCGACATCAAAAACCTGTTTTTCCCAAATACAGAGCCCTTTTATGCTGCTTTTGGAAACCGCCCTGCTGTAAGTAGCCAATGGGGTCCTAAGAGCTGCTGAAATGCCTTTCCTGACAGCGGCCGGGGCGGGGGCTGGAGGCCAGACTCTCCCTACAAGAAATGGCGGGTGGGGTGTCTTTGGCCTGCGTCTCACCGCATGGTCCACCATTTCATGGTCTCTGGTTTGCAGGTGGATTAGTGGGTTTCAGTTAGAAGCTTGACAGGTGGGGCTGCAAGCGTCAAGGCCTGAATTACTTGCAAAGTGAGTGGGCCTGGGCCTGGGCCAGGGTGTGGGGAAGGCTAACCCCCTGCGCCCCGGCGGTGGAACCTGCCCCTCACGTGCTCACGGGTGTTTCATGTTGTGGGGGGAACACGTCCAGATCACATGTGGACTTGCCACATTTTCTGGAAGGTTCAGCATCCCCGAGATTACAATCGGGTCCTAATTTCCCAGTGGGAAAAAAAAAGGCTCCCAGTTTTTTAAATCACGCCTGAGAAAAAAGGGCTCGAGAGTGGCCTTCAGGTGTGAGGATTGAGGGGGTGGGTGGGCTATCTCCCCCCGCAGTCCCCGATCAGGAGCGTGCTGAGGCTGGCAGGGCTGAGGCCTGTGTTTCCTGTCCCTAGACGCTCTGTGTAGACTCCTTGGAGGCGTAGCTGTGGCTTAATGAAAACTTTGCAGAGTTGTATCATCTCAGAACTACCAGTAGTGTGTATTTATCATGCCCTCATTAACACCGCACCGCCTCGCCCCACCCGCAGGACGTGTACTCCTACAAGCAAGTCGGGGTGTCTCTGAACAGAATATTTACCGTCAACCCCAAGGGCGAGCTCGTGCAGGAACACGCCAAGACCAACATCTCCTCGTGAGTGCCCGCGGCCGGCGAGGCCGGCTCTGGCCTTCTGGGCTGGCGTCTTCATCCCGGGCTGTTCCACGGTTCCAGTGACCACCGTGGCCTTTGCTGCGCGAGTTTAGTCTTTAGTTCCTGCAAGGAATATCTGTATTTTAACTCGTCTGAGTTGAATCAGATCCCCTTTGAGTCGGGAGTTTAAACTAGTGCTTGATTCTGCTCCCGAGTGGAATGGGAGGGATTTGAAAACCCGAGATTCGGATTCGCCAAGTTGGGTTTGCAAGCCTCGAATGTTGTTTGAGACGTGACCACGTTCTCGCATCCGTGGAGCCAGCGCTGGGGGGAGGGCGGGAGGGCTTCCCGCAGAGGAGCTGCTGAGTCACTGTGTGAGGCCTCCAGGCAGCGGGCGAGTCTCGGCTGGAGGGTGTCTGTCTGCTCTGGGCTCCTTGCTTCCCAGAGGGGAGCATGTCCTTGTCCTGCGTGCTGGGGGTGGGGGGTGCTTTGCCCACAGGATGCCATCAGCCCTGCCAGGCCAGATCCTGCTCTGGCTGTTTGAGAGGCGGCCTGGTCTGTGCAGACCTGAGAACAGCCCCGGCCCTCCTCTGCACACTCGTGGGCTTCCGGACGATGAGTTAGGGATTGTTCTGGAACCACCTGTGTTGTGTTAACAGGCCACTGCCTCGGTTTATCTCCACGCCGAGCACAGCGGCTGGAACTCCTGCTCCCACCGTCCGGCTGTGCCTCCGAGGCGGTGACGTTCTCTGTTGTCCTTCCAGGTACGGGAGACTCTGTGAAGTGGTCGACCACGTCTTCCCGTTGCTGAAAAGGAGCCATTCTTCCGACTTCCCCTGCTCAGATACCTTCAGTAATTTCACCTTTTGGAGAGAGCCGCTGCCGCCCTTTGAAAACCAGGATGTTCATTCAGCCTCAGCATAAAACGTTCCAAGCCTCCTGACACCCGCGAAGACCGGGCAGCCCAGGGCAGGCTGGGGTCTGGTTGCTGGGGAGCGGCGCTCATCTGCCGAGGAACAGAGAGCATTCAGGAGCGCTTCCTCCCCACCTCCCCAGGGCTGGCATTTTGAAGTGAGATGTGAGGGGTGCACTTGGTGGGAAAGGACTCGGGGTGCAGAGTCTTCCTCAGTTGTGGCTTAAAGCCAGCTGCCCTCTGCCTTCCCCATCTGCTCCAGCCCTGGGGGTCGTGAATGTGCCAGGTGGGCCGCGGGCACCGGGCCGCGGCGGCTGCTAGGGGTCCCCGCGATGACAGTTAACTGAGGATGATGGGCACGACTTTGCGTAGAGTAGGGGGCACATTTCCCTGATTCTGTGCCCCTTCTTCATGCACCTGGCGGGGGCAGCCCAGTGACCTGAATCTCGGGTCTCTGAAGGGACCCCAAGCCCACTATGCTGGGCCTCTGCCTTGCAGGTGTCCCTTTGCAGTGTTTGCGCAACGCTCGGACTTTTAGAAGTTCTTTAATCCCTTCGATTAAAGGTAACCTGTGTCACTGGCCTTTCCCCGTTTTTGTGGCTCAAGGCTGGAATCATTGGGCCTTGAGCCTTCGGTGGCCGACATTTTATTTCCTGGAATGTGCTTTGCCCGGCTCTCTGCCACTCTGCCGCGCCCTCGCCTCCCAGTGCAGGGAATACGAGGCAGGCGTCGCTCGGGTCAGGCCAGCAGGCCCAGCTGCCGTGTCCAGCGAGGCGGCGCCGAGGACACGGACTGGACCAGAGCTTGTGCCAAATGCGATGCTGTGAGCTGTCGGGGGCTCAGACAGCAGCGGGTTAAGAAAACCGTTTCAAGAAGTGGAATTATATTCTCTGTAGATCCTGTTCACTCCCTTCCCCTTCTCGGCAGACCCGTCACCGCTGCCCGTGCCCGAGAAGGCTCCCGGGAGCTGTTGGCAGCGCCTGGCTCTGCGCGCCCCCCGCTTGCTCCTGCCTTTGGACTTGCAAGGGCCACCTCCCTTCTCAGCTCCCCCACGCACACTGAGGCCATGCGGACAGGGAGTCATCCGGTGACGTGCGCTCGGCCCGCAGGAGACAGTTCTCTTACCTGTTTATTGACCTGGCTTGTGGCGAGTGCAGTTTGGAAAGTGAAACAATTATTTTGGTAAGAGATTTTGCTTCTTGAAGTGTGATATTTTTTTAAAGAGAGTTTTACTCCACTGGTCGACTGGCTGTGCTCGCTTACTTACATTGTCAGGTCATGGGCGGCCACACAGAGCGTTTGAATGAAACTTTACTCTTTCTGTGAAAGAAAACCCAGACGTTGCGTTGCTGTGGCCGACGGGCACGCGGGCCCTTGCGGGCAGTTTTCGCGGCCACGGCCCGCGTGCGGCTCCTGCAGGCCGCCTGGAAGCGCTGGTGTGGTTTCCCTTTTGAGGGCATCACAAAGAGTCATGAGCCTTTGTTACTCTGGGCCCAGTCACTAGTGGCCTGGGGAGGCTGCGTGAGTTGGTTCCGTCAGGAGGGTATTTTCAGGGAATTTGGACCTTGGTGACTGAAACCTCAGCTCAGGGGCCTGCAGAGGCCTATCCGCTTCTCCCTGCTCTGGTTGGCGTTGGGCTGTGAGTACGGCCGGCGCTTCCCCGGTGCCTTCCCAGCGTCCCTCTCTAGTGGTGGGGCTCAGACCCTCAGGGAAAGGCGCGCTCGGTCTGCGTCAGGTCCAGACAGGAGAGGCCCTGCGGCTCTCACACCTGCCTGGAGGGGAGGAGGCGCAGCGCCCGTGCCCGCTCGTGCTGTGCTGGGACTGCGCCTGTCCAGCTTGCCCCGTGGGAATGAACCGCTCCCCCCTGCCGAGTCCCCAGACGGTCATCCCATGTGAGGAGCCAAACACAGACGCCCGGAGGAAGGTTTATCCGCGATACTTAGTACTTTGAAGAAAACGATTGCACCTTCAGAGAAAATTCCCTTTTCAATGTTAGGTTTGGATGATCACTTCATACACACGCGATTTCCACCTCTTGATCTGTAGCCTCTATGCTGGTGCAATGATAAAAATCACTGTAATACTTCACTGTGCTGTGCTGGCTGCAAAGCTAGGAAATACTGTAATAAACGAGACGGATGAAAGATGCAGGCGTGTGAATTTTAAGTCATTTTTGCTAAGTCACTGGGCTGCTGATTTCTGGTGTGTGATGTCCAGCATATTCCTTTATTCTCTACTCAAAGCCCTTCAGGTTATGAACTGCTCACCATTTGGAGTAAAGGAGCCAAACTTTCCGCATGCGTTGCTAGGATCCCCTGCTTCCGTACACGCTTGGGAGGGGGAGGTGGGTGCAGAGAGGAGGGGGCTGCACCCTGCATCTGCTCCACCCTGACGCGCATGACTCAGCAAAGGCTTCATCACTGCGCACAGCGCCTCCTGGGAAAGGCCCCACAGTGGCTGTTGCACGGGCGTCTGTTCTGTTCTGTACGTGTGTGATGGTCAGGTGTGGCCAGGAGAGACACGGGGAGATGCAGGAGAGCAACGTTTGTTCTCACAGTCCCTAGAAACGGGGCACGGCTGCACAGAGAGGCCCAGAGGGCAGAAGAGCCAGAAGGCCTGGGCAGGGAGGGTGCCAGCTTAGCCCCGGCTGCAACCATTTCAGGGGCTTCTAAGCAATAGGGTGGTCCCTAGAGGGGTTGCCTGGCGTCTAGCCCTGGGGTGACTGGGAGGGTCAGTTACATACAGAGGTGACCCTCTGGATGGGTCAGTTACATACAGAGGTGTCCAGTGGGCCCTTTGCTGCCTCTAAGGAACAGCTTCACTGCTCCCTCCCCAGCCAGAAAGGTCTTGCAGATATGAAAGCACGTAGTCACGTGATCATATACCGGGAGGGACAGTGACAGCCGGCAGCTTTCCTTGCCTGCTGCCCAGTGTCCTGGCGGCTTGGGCTGTTCTCGTCAATATCCGAGCCAATCAAAATCAGCCCTTGATGACTTCACCCAGGTAACCTGGAAACTCGTGTCCTATTGACTGGTGCACCATCAACAACCTGTTGACTCACCTGTCAGCCTAAATGCTTCTGGAATAAATGATTCGGTCCCTCAAAACTCCCAGGTTGCTCCCGGGCCACAGGCTGGGGAAGCCCAAGCTCAAGCACTTCCCTGCGCGTCTGTAGAACTCACGGTGGATCTCGAACGCAAATCCAACCTCTCCTGTGGTTGAACATCAGGGATTTCAGACCCAGCCTCTTTGATCTATTAAAAAAAGGCTTTCACGGCGTCCAGGGCCAGCCGCTCCGGCCTCGTGCTCGGGTGTCACCACTAGGCGGTGCTGTTGCCGCTCGGTTGTGCAGGCAGCTCTCGGGCAGGGACAGCAGCAGATTGAATTTCTCCCGGTGTCATCGGGGAGTATTGCAGGCCCTGGTTTTCTAAGTTCACAACCATCAGTACCCAAGTGCGTTTATCACATGGAAGCCAAGGAACACGGACCGCAAGGTCAGTGGCTGTGGACTTGGGCCTCAGAGCAGCCTTTCCTGCAGCCCTGGGGTGGGAGAACAGTCGCGGAGGAGGGTGAAGCACTAAAAAGTTAAAAATCCATGTGGCATCGGAGCTTCCTCACTGGCATCGCCCCTTATCCAGCCCCTCTGTAAATGCAGCATGTGGGGGGCACTGCCCTGCTTCCATGGGGCTGGGGTCCTGGGGGGGCATCTCTGTCTCTGCTGTTCTGGCCTCTTTGCCATGGAGGGTGGTGGTCGCTGCTCCCAGGCTGCAGCCTGGTGCCTTAGGGAGCCAGAAAGTGAGCTGACAGCAGTTGCCTGGGAACTTAATGGCCCCAAATGGCCACTGGAGGGCACAATTCGTCTGGTTTCTTAGCATGGCCTTTTAAATCATGTTGGACTGGACTCGGCCCCTCCCTGTGGTGCTTGCCTGGAGCCACGCCAGGAGTGTTTGAACTTGGACTGTTTTGTCCCAGCGGGCACAGCCCAAGGTCAACGTCACTCCCTGACCGGGGTCGGGGTGGGGGCACAGCCCGTGACTGTGTCTGTTCTGGTCGACACCATTTAGATCTGTGGATCTCAGATGGTCTTCTTGGCTGGCAGCGCCCATCTTGGGGGGGGGTGGTGGTTAGAAATGCAGCCTCTCAGGTTGGTCCTCCCTGGGGTCCCAATGCCATGCCCTAGGCTGCTGCTGACGCCTACCTTTAACCTGGCCTGGCTAGAGCTGCATGATCAGCTGACTACGGAGCATGGGGTGGGGTGGGGGAGGGTGTGGGGGATGCTTGGGCCACAGCCTGGCTCCTGGTGAGCAGCTGGGAAGCCCAAGGTGTCCTGGTCACTCCACTTAGCACAGCTGCCCGGCCCCCAAGGCGAGCTGGTCCTGCTGGGCGGGGAGTTTGCCTGTGCCCGCAAGGGGTGCCCTGGCAGGCCTGGGCTGTGCCCAGATCTCTGAGGGCTCCCATCCTGCCCCAAATTGTCAGAGCCTCGAGGTGTTGTCCTCATGCCAGGGATCTTTTCACTGCTGCAGGAAGTCCATTAAAAGCAGGGCTTTAAATGAGTTTTGCAAACGAGTGGCCTCTCCCGGTGACTCATTCGCCTTTTGTGCACTGGAGATTGTGGTTTTAAGTTTCACTTTGGAAAGTAACCACAATTTCTGCTGCTTCCTCCGCTGCTGGAATCCCAACAAGTTGCATTCATTTTGCAAAAAAGAAATGTAAATGTCGGAGCGCCAGTCATATTTCTGCTCTGATTGTAAAAACATCCTTTTCCGAGATGGATGACGGAGCCAGCGAAGGAGAAACGGTTTATATTTTCAAGTCACACATTCATTTGGGAACTTTGATTTTTCCCTTCCAGAGGGGCTTGATAGTTTCATTTTTGTTCTTTGTCTTCTTAATTCATATTTCAGGATTATCCTAAAAATAAACAGTGCTGCCTGATGGAGGGAGGTGGTTAAAGTGAATTTTTGAGAGAGCCTTAGTTCCCGACAAAATGTTACTTTCTTGCTTTCATGCAGCACCCACAGGTGATGAGACTAGAGCTCCTTCCAAGCACTACAATGGTTTCACCTGGACTCTCCTCAGAACTCAGGTTATGGGCGCCTGGTCGTGAGTTTCTGAGCACCGGACAGCACATGGTTAGTGGACACATGCCAGGCAGCTTGCCACCCTCCCAGCCCCATTCAAATCATGGAATGTTGGGGGTCAAAAGAAATCACCCTGTGTCCCTCTGGGTTCTTCTTGTACTGCATGAGTCATCAAAACAGCATCAGCTGGGTTAGCAAAGGCAAACAATTTAATAAGGTATGGAGAATGTTACATGGTTGGAAATTCTAAAGAATAATGCTGCTGCCCAGGGATGTATTTATCTTGTGTTTTAGGACCAGGGGTGTCAAAGGCAGAGCTAGGGAGGCTTCATGACAGACGAGGAGGGGAGTTAGCTCTTCCTCACTCTGAGAGTAAACATGGGATGTTTGGATTGGGAGGACATACATAGCCTGTAACTGGGTGAGACCCCAAACCATATTCTAGATGTCTCTTCTTTGATTAGGGAAGGCAGAGGACTCAGGCCAGGACAGAGCTTCTTCACTGCCTTCAGAACCCCCAGGCTCTCTACCCAAACCATCTACATTCTTGAAGTAATGATAATAGACCTCCCCAGGCTCCTGCTCCCCACTGGCCTTGCCTTCCCCAACCAAGCGGCTCTGGGCTCATTCAGAAAAGATCTGCCTGTTCTGTTCCCCACTCTGTCTCTGGTGAACCCTCTCACCCCCCACAACTCTGGCCTGTACCCCAGTTCTTGTATGCATAAACAAATAAAATCTTTTTTAAAACAAAGTCTAGATCACCTTTTTTGGGGTGACTGACCCCACAATAGTCCTGTTCAAAACGCTACTATGTTGAACTAAGTAGTTTTTATAGAATTCTATGTAAATGCATGTACACATAAAACAATCAGCTTTCTACACTTATAAAGCTAAAATGCATTTAAAATTAAATGCAGGTAAAACTACTGCACTCATAAAATTCATGCGTGTCACCTGCTGGTACATGTTGGTGAATTAAAGTCACTGAAATGATGCTGGGCTCACTGGGTCACAGAAGTCTTTATTCGTGTTTTCTGTTTGTTGATTTGTCAAAATGATTTGTGACTTTTGAGCATAATGGAGCACGACTTACGCCACTACTGTCATTAATGCCAACTCTACGCTCTGAAAAATCCCTTATTACAGATGTCCATCTGCGCTGAGGCGGATGCGCATTCCCAGCAAGGAGGGGCCCTGCAATAAATCGTCTCGCAGGACGAACGTGCACAGACGTGGAAATGGGGACGTTGGGGTTGAGCGGGGGGTTACACCACCCAGACCTCATCGTTCTAATGTTCTCTCCCTGGTGGCTCTACGGCTTTCTTGGACGGGACGTTATTTGACCGTTGCTTGACTTAAAGCTTCACACACTCAGGGAGGAGGTGCCACCGCCCTCTCTCCTCCAGGATCTGGGCTGACACAATCTCTCTCCTCCAGGATCTGGGCTGACGGGGCATAAACGCAGCAAATGAGCTTTCACGTTTGTCACCTGAAGAGACAGAAGTGACTGGAGTCTGGCCAGATCGGGGATTTCAAATATCTCCTCTCACCTCTAAAGCTGAAAATTCTCCTCCCTGGCTCTACGGAGGTGGGGGCTTCCATGGAGCTGTACCTTGACAAAACTTGCCTGAGCACCGGGGAGATGTTTCCGCTCCTTGCTCCCTGCTCCGGCACCCCCATGGCCTGGGCAGAAGCGCTGCAGTCCTTCCTGACTGAGCTGCTCCTTGTGGGGGGAAGGGAGGCGCAGCTGAGGTCCAGAGACCCACGGGCTGTGCACCCTTGCACACCTGCTTGCTCTCCCACAAGGTGGGGGGCTGACAGCCCCAATGTCCACCTGCACCCTGTATGGGCAGGCGGTGGGCGATTCTACTTCTAGAGAGCAGAGCTATTTTAAAACAAAAAAATTACAGTTTTGCTGACTTTGGCTCTGAAGCAAGCTTGTGGATTTTCAGGTGAGAACGTTTGTGTGGGTTGAGGAGGGGCCCTGGGGTGGGGTCGGCTTTCCCGCAGGACTTGGGAAGTGGGCCTGGCGCCTCTGGCCACAGGCACTCCTGCTGCAGGAGCTGGGTGAGCACCCTCCAAACCTGCCCCCAGAGCTCCAGCCTCAGACACTTGCAGCAAAGAT